GCGACCGACGTGACCCAGCCCGTATGCCCCTCGAGCGTCTGTAGCGGCGCGCCCGTCGCCGCGTCCCAGAGCCGGACGGTGCGGTCGTCCGACCCCGACGCCAGCCGCGTGCCGTCCGCCGAGAATGCGACCGACTTGACCCAGTACATATGCCCCGTCAGCGTCTGTAGTGTTGCGCTCCAGTGTGGGAATACGTTAGGCAGCAAAGAAAACATATCCGTACGTTGCTGTAGGAAAGCCTTCCGGACAATGCTGTTCACTGGGGTAAATGTAAGTGCAGAAAGGTACAGCTGTAGAGGTGCAAGATCGGCCACATAGCGGTTCATCGAAGCGAATCGATATGCGTCGTTAAGAAAGGCGGCCGTCTGCTGACCGCGATCTCTCTGTAATTTGGTTAGCAAGGTGCTGTTCACCGTCCAGGCCGATGCGCTTACCTCATCGACCTGAGCTTGAAGTCGCACGGTATGCAAGACCGCACTAGCTGCATTTCCCATCCAGCTGAGTGCCTCGAACCAATAGAGGAAATACTGTTGTAGGAATCGATGCACGTATTCATCGTCATGTAAAGTTTCTCTACTCGCAATGAAGTGTTCGGCCCAAAAGCTAGAAGTATAAGTCACTCTAGCCGGCATCCTTTTCGCAATCTCTGCTGAGTCGAAGTCGGTGCGTCGTATGCCTGGTTTCCGAACTCTGCAAATATCTTTTTGTAGACCGCCAGGCTCACACATCCGCTGAATGCACTTCTGGGCGACCCGCGCGTGTTCTTCCGACATCCCAGCTGGGAAGATAGAGTTCCTAGCTTGTTCAATGATATAGTCCTTGGCTGATTGGTGTACAAAGGAGACCACCCTGTCTTCCCGTATGTCACCTCGCATCGTGAGAAAGCACCCAGAGCGACGCGCGATGTCTGCTATATCTTCGATGCTATAGGATATCTCTTCCGGTAGGTCAGCAATAAGACCGAGCTCTGGCAGCGTGAGAGGTCGGAGTGCGAGTGCGACAGTAGCTAGCACGGCCTTGCAGTACTCGACATCGTCCGACTCTTCGATTTGAACCATCATGCGCGCGTAAAGCGCATCCAGTCCTGGCGGGAATTTGTGCAACTTCTGCCGGACGTGCCGCTGCGGGATAGCGTGTAGGCTCCTGCAAACTAATGCCACCCATAGAAATGTATCGCCTGCGTTATCTTGGAAGTATTGGAGGACTTCCTGCTGAAGAGATTCGCTGTAGCCTTTTTCTATGGCGAGTTGACGCACTTTCTGCTCACTGAATATGCGGACGCCAGCCGCTATCGTTCTTGCATTCAGTTCTAGCTGTAAATGCAGCATCTGCTGCGCTTTGGATAGGGTCTCCTCAATTGTCGGCCAATCACGGCTAGAGTATAACCATTTCACGCGAGGCGACCGTGCTGAGACCGAAGCGATGTAATGCAGGAGGTCTGTCAGCTGCGATGAGCACTCATCTAACGCGTCAATAATGAAAATCGTGCTGTTCAACTGTGGATCTTGGAGAATGTCAGAAAATAGCTTCGTCAGAACGATCCAATTGTTCACGTCCTCAAACAATGTCCGGCCGGCCTGATGATGCTGTTTCTCAATGTGTCGTATTAATGAAGGCTGTTGGTCGACGAGCATGTAAAGAAGTCCGCGCAAGACGGCAACGGCGCTGTTGATTCGCGTATCTGTTGCTTGGCAGAAGAAGTAGCATAACTGATATCGCTGTCGCTCGGTCCTTGTAAGCTCATCGACAATACTACAGATAAGCATCGTCTTCCCTTTTCCCGGGTCACCTCTAATCCACAAGGACTGGCAGTCGGCAGTCTCACGCCAGCGCTGGAAGTCTCGATGGTCGAAGATCCAGTCGCACACTCCCGCTAGCAAGCCACCTTTGTCTTTCTCGATGCGGGATTTATCGTCCCGCGGATGTGTGATTCGTAGGTCTCGCATAACACTTGTTTGGACATTGATGGCCTCTTCCAGCTTTGCCATCGTGCTGGCCCATCCTTGTCCGTAGTGGATAACTAGTTCGACTTCGAAGATGCCTAGCAGCGCATACACTTTGTCCTCTTCGAACTTAGTCGTACGGCGCTCCATCCAGGCCAATCGCTCCTCCTTTCTGAAGCTGGTTAATCGCCTTCCTTGTAGCGCATCTACGGAGATGCCTGTAACATCGTGAATAACGTCTTGAAGGGTCTCCTTGTCGCCGAGTTTCACGCCATCCTGCGAGAAGAACTCGACGATCCGAGGTGCTAAGAGTTCTTGCAGCGTCCATCCTCGGAGGAACCATTGACTCGCTTGGAAGGAAGATTGCCAGGTACGTTCGCTTTGGCCTGTAGTGTTCTGCTCACCGACCGACACGTCCGCAAGATAGACGTAGCATTTCGTCGCGCGTTGGTACCACCGGAACATGGAGTTCATCGCCGCTTGATGCTCGCCATGGAGTAACTTGTTTATGCAGCAGGTGTCGATCCAGAAGTGCTCGAGCTGGTCCTCGGAAGCTTGCTCAGCACAGAACCTGAGCTTCTGGAATCCCTTCTTCTCACGACCCAAGCCCTGTATCATGTCCTGATAGCTCACTTCTTGCTCGGCATTACTCTCCCATCGATGCGACAAGATCGCATAGGCAGGAACACTGCCGTCAGTGAAGGGCCCAGCTAGCCGAATTTCCCCGCCCGGCAGGCGCTGGAGAAGACGGATGCGTGCACCGGTAGGACTCATTGCTGAATCGGTCATCCCAGACCCCGCTTGATGTTACGGTAGACATTGTCGTGAATGTCAAAAGGAGTGCGGCGAAGTCGGTAGTAATGTATAAGGAGATACAGACTGCGATAACATGCAGGGTTGATATTAGTAGGAGAGGCCGCACTAGCGGGGTTGCGTGGAGGTCGGCGTTTATGCAGACAAGACGACCTCGACTTGGGGCGTTCCTCACCGGTCGACTCCACGTTAAGGGTTCTCTACAAGCTAGGTATCGCCGCATAGGTGATATGCGGCAGGGCTGCATGCAGACACAGCTAAAATTGTCTTGAAAGATATGTCCCTCTCCTCATCCCCCATCTAGGGGAATTCTATATGCAGAAGATAAAAGGGGGAAAACAGTTGATGCCTGAGGCAGCTATCGCGGCACCTCACCTTGATTATGTCATTCACCGCAGTGGGTGACATAAGCAGTAGGTCACTCACCAGTGGGTGACATAAGCGCCAAGCGGTGGATGACGTAAGCTACAGCAATACTTGGTTTAGCACATCCCGATCGCTCACCCTAGTTCACGTGTGGTCAGGACTTGCATTTTCCCTATGATGTCGCCTTCGCTATACGACCGATGTATTGACCGATCGAGCGACATGTATTCTCGATAGGCTTCATATCAGCGGTATGTATGGACTTCAGAAGTCGCCGCTTTATGGCGGTTCTTGCTGCAGTAGGACTCGCTCCCCAGCTCGATCCGAGATTGCGTAAGCCAACTGCGTGTGTAAGTTATTGTTCTCAATTTTGTCAAAGCACTGTGGACTTGGTCGTGTGCTATAGATTGCGCATGTGGACGTGGCTTAGCGGCGAGAAGATGTGGCGGAAGCCACCTTGCGACGGACGTTATCCTGAGTCAGCAATGCCGAATCGGGCCCGGATCCTGAAGTCGATCTGAGCTGCTACAACGGCAGTGCTCGGGATCACGCACTCTTAGTCTGAATAGAGCAAGACTGAGATAGTTGATAGAGTGCACTCTGGGCAACCTGTGAAGATCGGAAAACCTGCATGTTGATCGTATTTGCATCCTGGGATAGCGATTGACGAAGGAGCTCGGATTCTGCACGAGAACGGAGGCAACCACGGTGCTCGCAAGACGAACCCGATTTCGACGCGGAACGGTCAAGAGAACGCTGTCACTGTGCTCTGTAACTCAACCATGACGAAGCAGATATGTATCCGTGTCGCCGAATGTTATTGATCGAAATCTCCAACAGGTGGCTCGCGACGCCGGGAGGGACATTAGTTTGGCCTCTCATAAGGTGCCCACCTGCACCTGCACCTAACCCACATGCAACCGCACCCACAGCCAGCCAGCCAGCCAGATGACATCATGGCCCACGGGCGGGAAAAAGCCTCATCATGGAATCACGGATGGGAAAAGTTGGTGAAGCTTTGGTGCCGTTGCTGCACACTCCAAACTATCCTTCCACGCCTCCTCCCCTCCGCCTGCTTGGCAGATGTTGGAAGCGCCCAGCCACGACGGAGGGATGACGAGGGAAATGCTTGCCGTGACTCACCCATCCCATGTTCTGCGTGCGCCCGATCGGTGCGGGTCGAGGTGGTGGCTGAGGAGCACGATGGGAAACCGATGGGACCGTGGCCATGTCCCTCCCAATCGTCAGATCTCGAAGTCGATCACGACGTAGGTGCAGTACCCAGCGCGACGTCGGTGATAATTGATGTCGCCCGCCTGGGTGATAGACCTCCGCAGATCCATGAGGATATATTCACATATATATATATATCTCTCTCTCTCTCAATACTTACGCATAGCTGGGTAGAGTGTGGTTACAGTATAACAAAGGCGAGGAGGAGGAGGCATATATCTCCTGTCGAGAGAGGCGCCATCTCCTCCGCGCCAGTTCTGCCACCACCCGCGGTCCCATGATGAGGAAGAGACTTTCCGCGGGTCGAGTGCAGGAACTCCCTCCGCCACCATTATCATCATCGCAATCGCAGTGAACAGTGGCAGCAGGAGCGATGCGACGGGAGAAGGAAAGAGACCTCGTAGGCGGACCTTCCCAGGTCACCATTGATCGCCCCCAAACACCCCAGCATCGGCAGCATCTTCAGCATCGGGCGTATGTGCTAGGTAACGTAATATAGTGTAATGTAATTTAGGAGAGCGAGCGCTCTGGCGGAGGAGAGGAGAGTGATCTGATCTGATCTGACGATGGACCGAGAAGACTGGATGTGCCTCAGGGGTGTGTGTCTTCGTCTCGTCGTCGTCGTTCGTATCATTAGTATTACACCTTCTTATGATTATCGATGACTGGGACGACTGTTGATGATGATGATGGGTGAGGGAACGGTGGAGGAAAGTGTCGTCCGGGGCTGCCTTGCCTTGGCCCTGCCGTCCGGGCGGGCAGAAGAAGAAGACGAAATCATTGTCGTGTCTCACCCATCACCCACCACTCGCACTACCACGCCGCCGCGGCCGCCGCCCATCGGATGTGTGTATGTATGTATGTACTATACTGTGGTGGAATCTATGCCAATTCGGGGTTCCGCCCAGCTTGATGCAGCACTCTGCTCTAGCTCGTCCATTCGTTCGTCTCCTCCAATCGTCGTGACTACTCTCTCTCTCTCTCTGACCTCTTCCCTCTCTCCCTCCTCCTTCTCTTCTCTTCTCTACTCTGACAACAACATCGACGACGGCGACGATTCACTCCTCCGTCGCGTCTCTATTCACACCGCGTCGCCCGACCGTCGTGTGCCATACGGGACAGCTTGCCTACAGCCTGTAGAGCTCCCGCCAATTCCAACCCGACTCAGCCCTACGTCATCACAGCGCGCGCTCCTCCATATCCGAGCTACCTGCCGTTGCCATCCAAACCCGCCAAGCTGAGACAAAACCGACGTGAAGAGATTTCTCCATCTTGATCCAGAGCCACTGTGGAAAGGGCCGAAGACATATAAGAGGAAGAGCCAGGCGTATAATACCCATCCGTCCATCCATCGCTCCACAGCCATCGACTTCGACCTCGACTTCGACGACCACAAAACCACGACCGCGACCATGACCCGTCCCGTCGAAGACCATGAGCCCACCGAGCGCGATCGCTTGCTCCCCGCCCAGCCCGTCAACCCTCCTCACCCGGATGGCTACCTCGACCCCGATGACCCGGCCGTGTCGCCGTACAACCTCTGGACGGTGCGCTTCCTCCGCACCCTGACCCTCTTCCTCCTCTCCGTCACCTTCATCTGGTGGGTCCTGCTCCTGGTCAGCATCTTCGTGTCGCCGCCCGGCCTGCACACCCGCGGCTCCGGCTTCTTCGACTTCGCCTACACCTCGCTCTCCCTCGGCCTCCTCCTCGTCCAGCTGCTCTTCTTCTCGAACCCGAGCCTGGCCATGCGCGTCGGCCAGGGCGTCATCGCCGCCGTCCTGCTCGTGGACCTGATCATCATCGTCTCCGTCCAGCAGATCCGCCACGAGGAGGGCCCCCCGGGCGTCGCCAGCGTCGTCTGGGCCGTGCTCGTCGCCGCCTGGTGCGTCCTGACCGACCGCGTCGTGGCCTGGGGCAAGCGCGAGGAGGAGGAGCGCCTCACCGGCCGCGCCGAGACCAAGCGCACGCTCAAGGAGTGGCTCGGCGTGCTGACCGCCACCGTCATCCTGGTCGTGTACGCCCTGATCGCCGTCTGCCTGACCGCCACCCTCGTCATCCGCTCCCGCGACGCCACCCTCGAGCTGGACGGCGACCGCATCGCCGTCGACGGCGGCAAGTACCAGGTCCACCTCAACTGCGTCGGCAACGTCACCGCCGACAAGCACGGCCACCGGCTCCCGACCGTCCTCCTCGAGTCCGCCGAGGAGCCCACCGAGTACGACTTCGACCACTGGGTCTACCACGCCCTCCAGGACGGGGCCATCTCCCGCTACTGCTACTGGGACCGCCCCGGCTACGGCTTCTCCGACAACGCCCCGTCCCCCCACAGCGCCGGCATGTGCGCCGACAACCTCGCCGAGGCGCTCGCCACGCGGGGCGAGCAGGGCCCGTGGGTGCTCGTCTCCGCCGGCTACGGCAGCATCGTCTCCCGCATCTTCTCCGCCCGCAACTTCCGCAACGTCGCCGGCATCATGCTGATCGACCCGCTCCACGAGGACCTGCTCGCCCGCGACGTCGGCGACCCCTACCGCGGCTTCGTCCTCTGGGGCTGGGGCATCCTGTCGCCGCTGGGCATCCCGCGCATCATCGGCAGCATCTTCCAGGGCCAGACGCGCGAGGACCGCGTCTACGGGCCGGCCGTCGCCCAGGGCGGCAAGTTCCTCAAGGCCCAGCTGCAGGAGAACCTGGTGGCGGCGAGCTTCTCGCGCAACGAGATCGCCTCGGCCCGCACCATCCAGGCCGCCGACACCCCGCTCGTCGTCGTCTCCTCGGGCCTCCGCGTCCGCGCGGACCCGGCGTGGAAGGCCCGCCAGGAGGACCTCACCAACATCACCGGCTCGCTCCTCAGCTGGGACGTCGTCGACAAGGCGCCCCACTACGTCTGGCAGAAGAAGGAGGGCGCCGAGCTCCTCGCCAAGCGCCTGAAGCAGCTGGTCAAGGCCGGCGCGAAGCAGTTCTACGGAGTGTAGGGGGCCGGCCCCGTCTTTCGACCCACGCGAGAGCTTCTTTCGGAGGGAAGCGGGAGAGGGGATGGATTGAAGGAATGAGATTTGCCACCCCCCTCCCCTTCTTCCCCTATGATATGCGGATGTTTGTATGATTCCAATGGCAAGGCTTTTATGCTTCCCCTCCCGAAAAAGAGCGAGAAGAGGGGTGTTTTTGTTGTTGTTGTTTTTGGTGAACGAAAAGATTCCCCCGAATGCGGGATGGGATGGGATGGGATGGGCTCTACCGCGGACGTCTCATCGTAATATTCAGTCAGGATCTCGCGCTCTAATATGAAGAAACAAAACCATGAACCGTCCTCGTCTCTGCGCCCCCCGTCCTCTCACTTCCACGCTCTCCTGAACGTGAAGAACATAATCATAAAACTGCCGTTCCCCCGCCAGGGGGAAAGTCCCACCTCGTCAGACCGTCTTCTTCCCCTCGAGCTTCCCGTTCCCCACCACCCCCGTCCCCTCCCCCTCCGCGCCGCCGCCGCCGTAGATCCGGATGTACTCCTCCCTCAGCCCGGCGTACACTGCCGCGGCGTTCGGCCGGAAGTAATACGCCTTCCACCAGCGCCACCAAGCCGGCGGCCACAGACACCAGCGCAGCGCGCCGAGCGCCGACGTGGACGAGGGCGAAGACGGAGACGGAGACGGAGATGAAGACGGGAGGTGGGACCTGAGGCCCAGCTCCCGGAGCAGGTGATCCGTGTACCGCAGGGTGTCGAACGACACGCTGTTTCCCTCCGCCCCGAGCGACAGGTACCGGCGCTTGTTCCACGCGATGAAGGAGGCGACGGCGGAGCGACGGGCCGATGGGCTTGGGAGAGAGGCGGGAGGGCTCCCTTTTGTTCTTCTGTTGTTGTCGTTGTTGTTGTTGGACGACGAGGAGGTGAGGTGTCCGTCGAACCATGCCGTCAGCCATAGGGCCTGGGCCTCGCCGGTGCGGAAGTAATTCGTCGTGTTGAGCAGGCCGATGCAGGCGAAGCTCCGGTCCTCCCCTTCTTCTTCTTCTTCTTCTTCTCCTCCTTCCTCGCCGGTGTTGCGTTCCCCGTCGCCTCCTCCTCCCACGGGCACCATCAGGTTGTACAGTCTCCACGGCGCCCGCGTGACCGGATGGCTCGCGTGTGCGGGGGGCTCCCCGAGGATGGGGTAGCGGGCCACGACGGCGGCGTCGGCGGCGCGTTCGGCCTCGCGCCAGCGGTGCGCGGCGGCCTGCTGCGCGGCGGGGAAGGTCTCCTCGGCGCCGAGGGCGTAGGGCAGGCCCAGGCGGGCGCAGAGCGAGGGCGGGAGGAAGCTCGTGGAGGGCTGCCAGCCGGTGCCGAGGAGGAGGGCCGAGGTGCTGATGGTGCGGCCGGACCGCAGGGTTATCAGGCCGGTCGCCGAAGACGGGGGTGAGGAGGGGGAGGGGGAGAGGGAGGCGATGTCGTCGTAGTAGACGTCGACGTGGTCGGCGAGGGTCTCGTAGAAGTCGCCGTGGTTGACGATGCCGGCGGCGTTGTTGCGCCAGAAGATCCTGCCATCCGTCAGCTTCTGGGAGGTTCTGTTTGTCATCGAAGGGGTTTCGGGGAGGAGAAGGAGAGGAGGTGAGGATTGTAGGATGTGAGGGCACGACTCACGGAGTGTGAGGGACCAGTTTGTTGAAATCGCCTCGTGCCGGACGATTCGCGTAGTCGGCATCGGCGACGGCTTCCTTGTGTGCGGCGGCGAAGAGGCTCAAGACGAGTGAGCGGCCGGTCGCGGTTCGATGGAGGAGGTAATTCCACCAGCTCCAAGGGGCGAAGTAGGATGGTTGGAGGGATTCGGGAGCGCGGGTCGATGCTAGTGATGGGGTCAACGAGAGCGACGCGAAGGGAGGCCACCACGTCAGGCCGGAGCATGTCCACCCGAAACATCGAAAGGGAGACACTCACCCAGCTCGAAAGCATTCTGGAAGCCAGCCTTCCCTCCTGCCCCCACGAACGTACACGGTCCGGTCCCCGTCGGCCGCACGATCCACGCGACCTGCTTTCCCGCCTTGACGCTCGCATACACCATGTCCGCGCCGGATTTGCCGCCCCCGAGCACGGTGACGTGGGCGACGGCCGGGTCGACGAGGATCCCCGCTTCGCCGCCCTCGGCGTCCCGACGCCGGCTGGCACGGCCGAAGTCGCGGTTGTGGATGATGGGAGCCGGGAATCCCGCAGCGCCCGGGAGGGAGGGGACGCTCGGGATGGTGGTGATGCCGGTCGCGAGGATGAGGTGTTTGGCGAGGAGGGTCCGGCGGTCGGTGGTGCCCCCCGTGGTGACTTCGAGGTCGAGGGACCAGAGGCGTCCCGATTTCTGGGCGGAGGTGACGTTCGTGGAGAAGAGGATGCGATCTTGGAGCGTCCGGCCCCCGAAGGTCTGATTCGCGGCATACTCTTCCAGATACTGCGTCGTATGTTCGGACTTGAAGAGGCCGCAGTATTGGTCATCCTTGGGGGGGACGGTCATGGATTGGTTGGAAAATTCACCAAATCCGACAGACCACTGCGTGTAGAAATGGTCGTAGAGTCGATCTGATGGAGAAGGCATTATGTCAACAATCGCCCGTCATCCGATTCGAGTTTCCTTCGTTGTCTCTCGATTGTATGTAGGGTCGGTTCCGGGATGAGGTAGTTCATTTGAGGATCACCACTTACGTCGACTCCATGTCCCACCGAGGACCGTCTGTGAAGGGGAACGGATACGTCAGCATGCGATCCCCTCTGTCTCTCTGTCACTCTCACTCTCTCTGGGTCGAACTGGTCTCTTGGGGCCGCATTCCATATCTTGTTGAGAAGCGGCGCCAGGATCGACGACTGACCTCTTTCTCAAGGATCACGACATCGGCGTGAGGGTGCACACTGAGATATGTCGAGGCGAACGCCAGGCCGGAGATGCCTGCATGCTGTGTCAGTTACGGAGATGGTACACTTCGATGATTGACGAGCACGCCGTCCGGTCATCGTTGTCGGGAATTTCACGATGATCTCACCGGCGCCAATCACCACGAAATCTCGCGTCTCCGCCATTTCCAGGCCGTGACGGGGGTCTTCTGGTCGTCGCCGACGCTGCACTTGAGTCGGGAGGGAGCGAGGCGACTACGGGAGGCGATGCGACTCCGGGAGATCACGTCGAAGCTACGGAGGCGATGAACACGATTCCGATTCCACGTGAAAGCGCTGTTCGAGAGGCGCCCACGACCGCAAGGATCCGTATGATTCGGCCTGGATAGCGCACGCGGGCAGAAATGTCCATCTCGCGGCACATGTCACATCAGCCCTCGCCGTCCATGCGCGCGCCCGGCGATCCCTCCCAGTTCATGTACGGGATCTGCAGGCAAAATCACATCGTTCTATAGGACCATCCTCGTCACACCTGGATGGGGATGCGGTCGTGGTGATCTATCCGTCCGGGCTCCCTGGCTCGGATTGACCAATTGAACTTCACCAACATCGCCAGGCCGCGAGAAATCTACATGCATCGACGGATTCGAGGCGGGAGTGTTCCGATCCCTTGGAGCTTATCACTGGCAACAGTGCGCTTCACAATCTTGGAATGGAGGAAATGCGATGCCTGGTCGCCGACGGACGATCGATCCCTTACTCCATTGTCACTGGCACTCTAGGGTACGATAAGCTTCACGAATGTATCATCAACGACCCGGCGCACTCATGGCCATCACAGTCCGATGGCAAACGAGCGAGGGGTGGCCAGAAAAGGCGAGGCGGGGGGGCTCGTTCGGTGACGGACGTGGACGAGTCACATCCCTCTCGCGTTCCAGTATCAAAACCCGACGAGGGTCGGTGGTTATTACTGCCCGCAGACTGTACGAGCGGTGTTACAGCTACGACTGCACAATCCGACTGCTACACATACGAGACACGACCTCCACTTGAACGAATACCCTTTCAGCTGACGGAGGTGAGAGAGGTCGTGGAACCGATGTCAGTTCCGCCTGTGTGTGTGTGTACCCTCTCACGCCTCTCGTCCCTTCCAGCCCTCTGCCAGCTCTCACGTCAGCACGTCAGCTCTCGGGCGCATTGTCTCGGGGGGATTGGAAGGATGGCGCTGCGCTGCCACTAACAGCCACTCGGCGGTGATGGGCGATCCTTTGATCGGCATGGCGACATGCAGCTTATTCTTCCCAATGGGAACGTGCTGGGCACACACCACACACGTGGGTGGCGCCGCCCCGATTGACTGACGAGACTGACGAGAGGGAGAGGCGTGGGATGGTCAGAGCTGACGGTCGGTCGGTCGGTCTCTCGCCGGTGCCGCGCTGAGGAGGACAGGGACGGAGGGAGAGAGACACGAGTGATGATAAGACACACCTCACTAACGACTACATGACATGTCCACTGCACGCCAACAATACACACGTGCAAAGGACAGGACAGGACAGGACGGACAGTGATGATCGGCAGCCCTGATGGCCTCAGCTTGCCCTACTGCATGTCCATGATGGGCGTCCAATCCCGTCTGCGGAATCTCCCTCTCCGCCGGCCAATCTTTTTTATTTTCCCTCGCTCTATAGTCTATACGGTCCATCATGGATCCTTCGCGCCGTTCCACGTATCTCTTTGTGATGCGAGACATCCAATCTGCTGGGCATGTCTGTAAAGCGCTGACGACAGGCGGAAAGGAAAGGATCGTCGATCACTCCTTCCTCTCCCGATCGCGGTGGCCACGGATTCCGCTTCCACGGCCAATGTCTGCCTGGCCGGCGCGCAATGAATGAATGAATGAATGAATAAATAAAAACATGAGATAAGCTTCGTCCTTGGGGCGGCGAAGGCGCATCCCAGCTGGAGACCACCTGGGCAGGATGAGATGGTTGCGATCGGAGGGGAGCTCTCCACTGACATGGGATGGATTCCTGCCGAGCCGTTGCTGCGATGGATCGCACACTCGCATGGTCTCTGGGTTCCAGACCTGATGATTTCCCACATGGGTGGTTTATCACCATCACCGTGCAGGCCCGATTGATGGTGAGCATAGATCGTATGTGCCCGGGTGTCGTTGCATAGAGACAGACCTAGGTACAGTAGGAACGAAGCTGTGGGGAGTGGCATGGCATGGGCATGGGCATGGCATTGAGACGGAGTGGATGTGGATGTGTTCCTCCTGTCCGTCGACCTTCCAACGTTCTTTCCACGGGCGACGGCAATTGAAGGGAGCCGTCGGATTGTGCGATGCCGTGCTGTGCTGTCGCTCTGATGATTATCATCATCATTATTATTATTATTACCTGTGGAGTACTATGCCCGGGTGATGATCACCTGCATATGCTGCGATGCACCCGTCTCCCCTCCCTCCCTCTCCCTCTCTCTCTCCCTCTCCCTCTCCGCGCAGATCATGCACGTCTCCATCAGCTCGCTCGCACTCTCGTCCGTGCCGAGACCGAGCAGAGCAGCGCAGAGCGGAGTGGAGGTGAAGGAGTCCGGGTCTCCCATTCCGCATCTCTCTGTCATGCTTCCTCCCTCATTCTCTCCCTCTCCCTCCCCTCCCGCTCTGGCTGATCCGCAGCTGAAACCGAGGAGCCCTGCATTTTTCAGGCGAAGAAGTGGCGTTCAGTACCGCACGTACATTATTATTATTATTATTATCATCATCATCATGTACAGGGACCATCACACCCGGCCGTCCGTATAGGCAGGGCCGCAGGGTAGGGTGCCCAGGTGTGTGTGCTTGATCAGGGCGATAAACCACGCTTTGCCGAAAGATTCGCCCGGCGCGCGCCATCCATCATCCTGCCCACTATACTATCACCTAGGAGGTACCCAGGTAGATTTCTCAAGTCCAGCGGGAAACACATCGGCGGGTAAATTTAGATCCTCCCACCAGAGAGGACGACAACAACCGTCGTACATTTCAATAGTACAGTCCAGTCCAGTCCAGTGCAGTAAGATAATGATGAATGTACCATGCCCTCCTCCTCCTCCATGCACCTCTCCCTCCTCCTCGCAGGAGAGCCCGTACGGCTGGCCACCGGCACTCTCGGGATCACCACCACCACCACCACCACCACCACCACCTTCAGCTCATGTATGTACATGTAGGGACAATGATAATAATTAGATTCACCTCTCGGAAACTACTGCTTCCACCACCACCACCGCCGCTATCATCACCACCTCCTCCCCTCCCTTCAGACCACTCCCCATGTCTTCTTGAATCTCCTCAGCCTAGCTTCGGAGAGAAGTGTGTTATAACAACAGTTCTGTACCGTGCTCTCCGCGACCAACGTCACCCAAGAAATCCCCCAGACCTGTCCTTCACGCCGATCACATCCTCCATCGTCGTCATTTTCACCATCGAACCCACCACCGTACACCTCCGCGCGATCTCTCTCTCTCGCGTTCTCGTTCCTTTTCCTCAATCTCAGTGAATCCGTTCGACATCGACTCCTCTCCTCTCCTCACCTCACCCTTCGTCCCTCGACGACCGACCGACCGACCGACCGACCGACAACCCGATGCGAAGATGAGTTCCGCGTTCCCACCCGGCCTCGACCTGGCCACCACCCCCCTCGGCCCGCCGCCGCCGGGCGTCGCCCCCGACTTCGACGCGCAAGACTCCGCGCCTTCGATCCGCATCCTGTGCATCGTCCTGTTGGTGCTGATCACGCTGTTCACCAGCGCGCGCGTGTACACCCGCGCCGCCGTGCTCAAGTCGTTCGGCTGGGATGACGCTTTCCTCGTCCTGGCCTGGGCCTCGGTCGTCGTGCATATGACTTTCATCCTGCTCGGTAGGTTTTCCATCCCCCGAGCGAGTGGGCCGTCCGCGAGGGAATGGGCCGTCCGCGAGGAATTGGCGGGGGCTAGGACGTGGGAGATGAGGAGGCGGACGATGGAGGTGATGGCGGTGTTTCGAGACTGAGATTGCTAACGATGAATTTCCCCCCCGTGGTAGTCCTAAGAGATGGGTTCGGCAGACATATCTGGAACATCCCGCTCTCCGTCGCCCCCGAGCTGTTCAAGGTGAGTTGGTCGCAACCCTCGCGCCGGAGGAGGCGTCGCTGCGCCCATCGCGCTCGTCACGCCTTCGATGTGATCCGTGGCTGATCGCGCGCCCCCGCCAGAACTTCTTCGTGCTCGAGGTCTTCTCGTGCGTCGTCTACCTCAACCTCAAGCTCGCCTTCCTCGTCACCTACCGACGCATCTTCGCCCCGGCCGCGGTCTACAAGTGGGCCATCAACGCCGGCATCGTCGTCGTCACGCTCTTCTACGTCGGGTCCTTCTTCTGGCTCATCTTCAAATGCCAGCCCATCGCCAAATCCTGGAACCCGTTCCTCGACGGCACCTGCGCGGACGAGTTCGTGCCGGGCGGGGAGACGGGCATCTTCAACGTCATCTCCGACGTGTACATCCTGCTGCTGCCGATCCCCATGATCTGGAAGCTGCAGACCGACGTCAAGCGCAAGGTGCAGCTCCTGACCGTCTTCTCCGTGGGGCTGTTCGCGACCATCACGAGCATCATCCGCCTGGCGCAGACCATCACCCAGGCGAAGAACCCCGACTCGACGTACGCGCTGGGACAGGTCATCATCTGGGCGTAAGTTCCCCCCCCCCCCCCCCCATCGTCATCACCCTCCGGCTCCGCCAGGACCGATCGCTGACCACTCTCTCTCTCTCCAGCGTCCTCGAATACTCCGTCGGTCTGATGGTGGTCAGCACCTTCGTCTTCACCGCGCTGTGGAACCAAGTCCTCCGCGAGCCTCTCGTGCGCTGCTGGTCGACCCTGACCTCTCCGCTGCTCAGCAGCAGCCGCGGCGACGGCAACAGCAGCAGCGGCGGCTCCTGGTCGATGCGCAGCGGCCGGGCCGGCAAGACGGCCCACGGCTACGGCTCCTACGCGACCGCGACCCGCGTGGGAGGGCGCGACGACGCGCGCTTCGAGGGGGCCTCCGACCTGGAGTCCGCCAGCCGCAGCAGCGCGAAGCGGGAAGCCGACCGCAGCTGGGCGGACGAGGAGGACGGCACGGCGCCCACCCCGCCCTCGCCGCGGGGCGACGCCCGCGTCGTGCAGAGGGACTGGGCGGCGCCCGCCGATCAGCGCATCACGGCGACGACGACCACGACGGTCTCGGTCCGCACGAGGGAGCCGGCGGAGGACGACGACGACGAGAGGCACCTCTTCGACGGCATCCCGCGGGGCAACAGCCGGACGAGCACGCTGGTGAACCAGTGATGGATTCGTGGTCCATGCGACGATTTACGACGGGAAGGGCATGACATGACGATGGGTTCGGCGTTTTGGGGGGGACTTTTACTGGACGGTTCTTTATGTATTTGAATGATACCTCTTCTTCGATTCTGACGATGTGATGAGTCCGCGCGAATGGTGGCCGTGAAAGTCCTGAGTCCGGTGGAGTGCATTTTCGGGAAACATCACGTCTGATCTGACCCCGCTGGGTTATGTACCTCTTCGTCTCATCTACCTCGAATGAGATATTCGAACGCATCACGTGACCCGCTGGGGTGAAGGCGACTTGCACCAGGGACAGACAAGCCCTTCCGGTCGTCCACAAGGCCCACGCCGGCGTGACCAAGGGAGCTCACGGTCGCTTGTTCGGGTGGATGGAGACATCAGATGGGAGACAGTTGGAGGGAACAGAGTGGGTGAGGAAAGAAGAAAGGAGCACTTCGATTTCTTCTAATTATCATTTCGATCTCATCGCTGCCTCTCTCCCTCGCCGGAATCCGCGGGCAGATTCGTCGACACCCGATCGACCGACCCACCAACTCTCGCATTCGCCGGGACTCCAAGTCGAAAAGAAGAGAGAGAAGAAAGCAAAGATGACGTCTCAAGTCATGTCGTTCCGAGGAGAAGAAGAAAAGGTGGTCGTGAAAGTGCGGTTTCTGATCTACCGGTACTAAAGTGGAGGCGATGGCACCAGGGCCAGAAAGTCAGCTTCTCGTGTCTTTGCAATGCAGTGATGCGTCCCTGTTCCTGTTCTCCGATCGACCTTTCCCACGGGGAACATCGTCTCCCGTCTGCCACGATCTTCACCCTCTGCTTCATGCGACTCCCTCCACAGCGCTCTCCTCAGCAGCTCTCCGCACCCATCCCTCCAGCCGCCTCCTCACGCCGACCCAATGGGAGCCCGCCAACGACGGGGACAAAGCACCAGGACTCACCTTCTTGAATCCGATGTCCTCGGCCTTCTCGCGGAATGCCTGACGCGACATGTTGAGGCCGTATTTGCGGATGAGACCGGACTTCTTCCTGTCACCGGTGACGCGGCTAAAAAGAAACCATTCCAGGCGTCCGTCAGTCCACGTCCGTATTTTTTTCCCTCCCTTGGGCGGTGGGCCCGCATCTGGGTGATGCCGGGTGGGGATCAGGGGAACTGCATTGTGCACTCACCAGCCGCGAGAGCCCTTGCCGTAAGTGCGCGGGTGCGAGTAGTAGACGGTGTCGTGCGCCATGGTTGCGTGTGTGTGTTGTCGGAGTGGGAGTGTTCGTCGTGGGCGAAGAGGAATTTCGAGAGGTGGTGGTGAATATTGCGCCCGGGACGTGCCGTTGTGCGTTTTGTGCGGGCGTGGGAGGGATCTCTCGCTACACCTGCACATTTGTGGCGGCGCGGGCTTAGGGTTTTAGGGCCGCCAATCTCGGAAGCAGCTTGATGATCGGGAAGTCTGTGATGGTTTCCATCCTGGTGTCTTGGTGAGATGAGATTCGATGATTTCGCACGCTGATGAATAGTATCGACAGTATGCATCAGCAAGGATTGGCCGGCTCTGCAATTGCGAGGGATGCCTATGCAACTTCACTCAACAGTCAACGGACGACATGTTTTCGTTTGCAAAACTTGGTATGTCCGCAGTCCAGAAAGTCTATCGAAACAACACATTCCCGGTGTCCACCTAAGCATTGAATCTCCTACTCGGTCTCCCGAAATCGCATCCTCTAGACAGCAGTGTCCAGAGCCTTACAGGCCAACGCCGTGGCCACGGCGCGGTTGCCTAACCTCATCCCCGTCGAGCCATATCGATACATCCAGCCCCCTGGCCAGCCTCCATCCTCCTCCTGCAATGCCTTCAACGCCGCGACGTCCTTCCGACAGGGGATTGCCCATTGCGAGCAGGTGATCACACGCAGCGCGAGCTGCACCGCACCGCCGGCGGGCGTGCCGACGCGCTCGAGGACCCGTGAGATGAGGAGGTGTGTGAGAGTGGTGGGAAGGTCCTTTCCGGCATCGTCGGAAGGCGGGGTTGGTGGGCGGGAGAAGGTCTGTTTGGGTTGATCAGGGCTTATGGCGGTCGAAGTAGACATGATGTGTTTGAGTAGTCGGCTGAGGAAGTAGAGGCAGTTGTCGGCGTCTGGGTAGTAGCGGGTGCCTTGTTCGTAGCCGCGGTCGAGGAGAAAGGTATGGAGCATGGGCAGGGTGTTGGGGAGTTGATGCCCGCGGCCGTGGGCGTAGAAGCAGGCGAGGATGTTGGCGGAGACGATCTCGTCGAAGCGGGGTTTGTCCCAGTCGAAGTAGGTCTATTGAGGGATAGAAGTGAGATGCTTGGTCGATGTGCGCATTGGGAGTAGAGATTCTGTCTCCTTTTCAACACCTACCTGAAACCGACCATCCGGGAGGACGAATTTGAGTACATTATCGAGGACTGCTGTCGCTGTGGCAGGGCTTTCGGGAGGTACTACCATCAGGGCCAGAGACGTAGTATCGAGATCATCGGGAAATTTCGCGCCTGGTACCAGCACGGGTGTCCCTGTGTTTCATGAGCACATCTGTCCGCCTCTACAAGATCATGAACACAGCGCCCTACCGATGAAGTAGTTCCAGGTGATTTTCTCATTCCATTCCGGTTGGACAACATCACTTCACCAATTGTCAGAATGGGCAGGCAGCAGGCATCGAAACACAACTTCGACTCACAGAAAAGGCAGGGCCTCCTGGATTAACAGTTTGGCGAAATTGTCGTCAATCGACACGCCGGTCTCAGTGAAAGTCCTACAATCATCACGATGCGAAAGGAGATAGCGATAGCCCCGCTCACACGGGTCGGATTCGATACGGGCTAGAATATCCACCACGACCTGGCTCTCGCTGAACACCACCGCCCGGATGCCCAAGTTCTGCGCGGCGAGCACGTTCTCCACCTTGTCGTCGATGAACATGACGTCCCGCGGGGACAGCGATACGGCATCCAAGACGTGTCGGTAGAAGGCGGCGTCGGGTTTGCGCATCCCGGCGTGGCCCGAGGCGAAGACGCGGTCGAAGATCTGCCAGTCGTCCACGGCCGCTGACACGTAGGCGTAGTCCTCTTTGGAGATGTTGGACATGGCGAAGATCTTGAGCTGGCCGTGGGAGGACTTCTTCAACGATCGAATGGCTTCGATCACTTCCATGTTGGGTTGGAGAGAGTCGCGGGCTTGTCGGAAGGCCTCCCGGATCTCCTTTGCGGAAAAGGGAACATGCCGAGCTGCCTGGTCGTAGCATTCCTCTTGGGTGATGCGGCCACAATCGAAGTCGACCCATGCGTCTGTATTGAGGATGCTTCGAAGCGTTTTGGCGGGGATGCTCGTTGTGGTGGAGGCCGACCACGTGAAGAGGACGTCGCCCAGGTCGAAAATCAGCGCCTTCAGTGGCACACGTTCTGGGGTGTCGTCGATGTTGCTGGACGACATTCTGGCGCCACTAGGCAACGGAGCAGACATCGTGATGATGGAGCATGTAGATATTCTGAATTCACGGGTCATACACTAGCATGTCCGGGCGCTCATGATTATAAGCAAACGATCTTATCTGGTGTTCGCATTGGAATGGCTGCATGGCTGAACCGCTCGGAATCGTCATTGTCCCGAGCGAGCAGCCGACGATGTGCCCGACAGCGCTGCCACCGACGCCCATGACGGTACGCCCTGTCAGACGGGCAGCTTCGAACCGTAATGGATCTGATAGGTAAACGGCAGCAGGTGCATGCATTGATTGGGTGTGGGGCCGCCGCAGTCGTAGTGGCAGTGGCGGCCGGCGGTGGATCGACAGTGGATTATCGCTTTTGCAGGATGATGATGGTTGGGGGCTACAGGACGGGACGCAGGCGGCATGCACCTCTGGGGCGGCAGCGATTCCATCTTGTGATTTTTGTGCAGACGACGATTGAACGGGAACGATGGGGAATCCCGAACACTTCGAGATAGCGCAACATTAATACCTCACCATCATCAGTAGCCACCTGATGGATGGCCTCGATCGTAAGCACCTGGGCAACCTTGGAAGCTATAGCGGCTCGGGAAGCACAGTACGAGGTTTGCAGCTGCATTCCCGCCCCCAATGTGAGCCTTCATCAGGCGTCCGCCATCAATTTGGCACCGCCCAATCGTGCGAATCGAAGGCCGCCTTCCGTGCCGAGACCGTATTGTCCATCGGATGGGAGTATCTGGCGATCCTCTCCATATCGGTATGGATGTCTCAATGCAGATAGGCGCATGTAGGCGCTGTGTTCGTCAAGACAGCAGCCTTGTGAGGCTGAGGAACTGCGATGGCGGGAGGGTGACGAATCGCGAATGCGAGAAAGTCTAACGCGATCGCGCATCGAGGTGGGTCGAAGAGGCACGGTGTGCTCTGGTCTGCACCATACTACTGCGCATTCACAGTAGTGTGAAGTCGTACGGGAAGCAGAAGTGTATGCCCAGCTGTGTTGGCTTTCCCTCGACACACCCACTGGGAGTGGTTTCCATTCACTCGGAGCTGTATTGAAGCGACCGCAAACCACCAGTTGTCCATAGCCGCTCTACTTCGACGCTCAATCCACCCAGAAAGGAGCAATGGAGTTGCAAAGTACTCTCCTCCAGGACATCGTGTCCCGCGCTCTCGCAGCGCCGCTATATCACATTGGAATCTTGGTATGCTCCTCGGATCAGAGCTCCCCAGTCCGACATCTTCCTTGCCGACATCTATGTCAACCATTTTTTTGAACCATGTTGGGGAACGCACGACTAAGCCCAAGTCATATAGATCGCCCTGACGTTGGTCGGTAATGTCATCTACAACCTCTACTTCCACCCCTTGGCCAAGTTCAATGGCCCTTGGTACTTCGCCATTTCCGACATCCCCAATGCTATCCTCCAACTCCGTGGGTTGAGCCAGTACGCGTTGGCCAAGGGGCACGATCAACACGGCGACATCGTTCGCATAGGCCCGAATGCCCTTTCTTTTACGAATCCCAAAGCATGGGATGCCCTTTATGGCTATCGGAAAGGTGTCGCCGCGTTGCCCAAGGACCCCGAGTTCTACAACCCGATGCTGTTGGGCGAAGAGACCATCACGCGAGCCAGCGACGTCGACGCGATCCCGATCCGAAGATCGATGAATGCCGCTTTTGCGCCCAAGAACCTCCTCGCTCAGGAACCAATGCTGCAGGAGCACATCCATCGATTGACGGCCCAGATTGATTCCGAGAGTCAGAAGACTGGAATCAAAGGTGTGGATCTTCGGAAATGGTTGTAAGTGACGACATCCTCAATTTCAAGATCCATGTCCGGTCCTCCTACGCCCGACTAACGTCCAAGCACGACAGCACCATGTCCATGTTCGATGTCAACTCCCATTTCGGCTTCGGCGAAGACATGGGCTGCGTCCGCGAAGGGAAATACCACGAATGGGTGCAATTCGTGCTCGATTTCTTCTTCGCCGCGACGCTGCTCCATCAGTGCCACAAGTTCTGGCCTCTGGCCCCGATCCTTGCGCACTTGATGCCCGCATCTTTGCGCAAGGCCAAGGACGACCACAACGAGGCTTCGCTGGGCCGCGTGCGCCATCGCATGCAGCTGGATCTCGACAAGCCCGACTTCATGTACCATTTCATGCGCCAAGCCGAGAAGGAAGATCTTCCGATGCATGTGATCGAGGCGCAGGCCAGCGTGGTGATCTTGGCGGGAAGTGAGACGTCGGCGGTGGGATTGACGAGCGCGACGTTCCAGATCCTCACCCATCCCGATGTTTACAAGAAGTTGTGTGAGGAGATTCGCGCGCTGTTCCCTACGGTCGCGGACATCAACCTTCAGGATACGTTGAGCAGATTGCCCTACTTGGACGCCGTGCTCTGGGAGGCACTTCGCATCCATGCGCCGCTCGCCAACGGTTTCACGAGAGTGGTTCCCGCGGAGCAGAAGGACTTTATGGCGTATGGGCATCATATCCCACCCAAGGTGAGCAATTCCGGAGTGCAGCATCGACCTCTTCGTACGAACACGACTGACCGAAGGCAATAGACCACGGTGACCATCAACCACTACGCCTGCAACACCTCGATCCGCAACTTCACCGATCCCCTCCTCTACGTCCCCGGCCGCTGGCTCGGCGACGCGAAATACGCCAACGACCAACGCGAGGTCGTCCAGCCATTCAGCGTCGGTCCAAGAAATTGCCCAGGCAAGAAGTAAGCACCTGCCTTTCGGATCATCATCTATTTTCCTGGTGATTGGAGACAACGCGTTCTAGAATCCTCCTGCTGACACTGTTGTCTCATCATGATAGTTTCGCGCTCAACAACATGAAGCTCGCCATGGCCCACATGATCGTCACGTTTGACATGGAACTCGCCGAGGGCATGCAGAAATGGGATCAAGGGCAGAAGATCTACAATGGCTGGTTGCAGCCGCCGCTGTTTGTGCGGCTTCAGAGACGTGTGTGAAGTGTGTTTCCTTTTGCAGTTTCGACCTCGCCTGTGGTTACTCGAGGAAACTCTCGCGCATCCAGTCGTCGCACTCTCGCGATGAGTGCGTGCGTGAATTGGTCGCCAGAACTCAAAGATCGAGAAATACAACATCGGCGATGCAAATGTGGGAGTCTTCCAACTCGTCTGTGGTGGCTGGGATGGACATGCGACGGACCAAGTGCCGCGTACAATTAAGCTTTCCAGTGGGCGGCGGTGGAGCGGGCTGTTTGCGATTGCGATGCTTGAGTTGTGAGATGGCGCAGTGGTCCTCTCAACGCTACGTGCAAGAGGGAAGTCTCGGGAGCTAATAAACGAGGACGGCAGTGTCCAGCACCCCGCGCTGGGCGTCTCCCTCGTACATACTGATGATACCCGTGGACTGTACTGTACTAGGTATTCATGATGAGACGGAATATCTGCCATCAAGAGCGACGCTTCACGTCCAAACGTTATAGGTACCTGGGTGATCTTTTAACCCGGGAAAGAGAGGGAGGTGAGGCGGCTCTCTTCCAATGGTTCGTCTAGGCTGTACTTACTCGGGTGGAAAGTCTTCATACTGCAGAAACGAACCGCGCCGGAGTGCCAAATGATGATGATTCCGGAGTTAAGCACTCATTTTATCACCGTAGAAGCTTTCGTTATCGCCGGAAGCAAGGGACCGGACAGCAAGGTAAAATCCAATGCAGCAGTGATGTACAATGGCTACACTACACTGCACTGCCTACGCTACCTGAGTATGTGATGTGGCCCAGTCATGGAGATTAATCCTGTCGAAGTCACGCAAGAGCGGCAAAGCTTAATATTCCGTTTACAGTTTTACAGTATTTACTCGGACTGATCCCATGCCCTCGATCTTTCCTCCTCATCATTCCCGTTGACTGTATCCCACATCGTCAACACAGCAAACATGGGCAACTTCGTCTCTCAGTCCTTCTTCATCCCCAAACCTACGCTCACCGAGCAGACCTGTCCGGACCAGAAAGACCGCGTACGTCGTCGCTTCCAGCTCACGGCGCCCTCACGTCGCATGGTTGCCAAATGCTCTTGTCCTGTCTCAGGGAACCTGCAACCTCCCAGAATCCCTCACTGACGCCTTCATCCTTGCCAAACAGGTCTTCATCGTCACGGGCGGCTACGCCGGTGTCGGCCAGGAGCTCTCCCGAATCCTCTACAGCCGAAACGGCACCGTTTACATCGCCGGGCGCAGCGCCGAAAAGGCCGAGAAAGCCATCGCATCGATCAAAGATGCCCACCCGACCAGCGCCGGCAAGATCGCCTTTTTGAAACTCGACCTCGCCGACCTCGCCACCATCAAACCCGCCGTCGAGAGCTTCACCGCCCAGGAATCCCGCCTCGATGTCCTCGTCAACAACGCCGGCGTCATGTTCCCGCCCGTCGGCAGCCTGACTGCTCAATCCCACGACCTGCAGACCGGGACCAACCTCCTGGGTCCTTACACGCTGTACAAATCCCTCGCGCCGCTGCTCGCCGCCACGGCGAAGTCCGCTCCCACGGCTTCCGTGCGCGTCGCCTGGGCCGGCAGTGTCGGGATCGAGGTCCTCTCGCCCAAGCCCGGCGGGATGATCCTGGACGCGAACGGTGCGCCGGTGGTCGGCACCAAGGGGGTCACGAACGAGGTCAATTACGCGCAGACCAAGGCGGGCAATTACTTCTTCGCGAAGGAGCTGGCGCGACAGGAGCAGGCCGCCGGCACGGGCGTGGTGCACGTGGCGTTCAACCCGGGCAACCTGCGCACGGAGCTGCAACGGCATTTCAAGGGCGTGGGAGCGACGCTCACCGTGGGTTTCCCTGTCTCCTTCTCTTCTCTTACCCCTCATCCTCGTCGCCAGAGACAAATCTTAGCATTCAATCCTACACGAATCGGACTGACATCTCCTCCGCCTACAGGACGTCCTCCTCCTCTACCCGGCCGTCTTCGGTGCATACACCGAACTCTTCTCCGCCGTCTCGCCCGAGATCACGCCCGAGAAGAGCGGCTCGTACATCTGGCCCTGGGGCCGCGTCGGCGGTCTGCGCCCGGACGTCGAGAAATCGGTCAAGTCGGAGGCGGAAGGCGGCACCGGGCTCTCGGCCAAGTTTCTGCAGTGGGTCGAGAAGGAGACGAAGGCGTTTGTCGCTTGAGAACGAGATGGGATGGAACTGGCTGTACAGAACGAGATGACGACACCCCTTGTGAAGGATATGTAATGATTTTCGAGTTTCAATGAAAGTGGGATTTAATGTCTGATCAGTGCCGCCTTCATTCACGCTCGAAGGCTTCATGAAGCACATCGACGGTGACGCCATGTCACAAGCGCTCCAGCTCGAACGATGATGCGCCACGACCGGCATCTCTCCGTGTCAAATCAATCAATTAAATGCTATGGGAGGAATCCAAAAGCCTACCGCCGCCATGCTGGGAATGCCGCTACAGAATTCAAAACAAGAAGCGAATGTCGCCTGCAAGCAACAGCAGTTCGTAAACGCTTACATCTGCTCTCCTATCTCGCAAGGGTGTCAATGGGGTACGGAGCAAGCCTTGCTCACTCGAACGACATCTCCACCTCCTGCTCTCCATGTCCAAACTCGTCGTCGTCGTAATCATGATCGTTGTACCCACGCCCAGACCCGCCCGATCGTCCTCGCGTCTCGGCTTGCGCTGAAGCAGCCGTCGAAGTCGGCGCGTTGAAAGAGGATGACGCGAGGCCCTGTGGCATCGGCGAGGATGCGCTCCGCACCGTCGCAGATGCTCCGCCTGCGGGCGAAGGTTGTCTCCGCCAGACGCTCTCACCGCTGCGCTCGTCGGCGGGAGAGCGGGATACTTCCCGTGAGGGAGGCGGTTTTGCCAGGCCGAAAACGTCGGGTTCCCGTGATGATGAGATCGCGGGCGATGCTGGGGAGAGATGATAGCTGGTCGAGCGATGAGCAAAGGTCTCGAGTGAGGGTGCGGGCGCGGTGAGGGTGGGCGTGGCGTGATCGGATGAGCTCGCAGGTGAGTCGACATGGGGAGGGAGGTCTTGGCTACTGCGGCCGGCACGGTGTTTGGGAATGTGTAACGCAGTGAGCCCTGCGCCTGTGGCGGCGCTACTGGCGGTCGCGGAGAGTGGTGTGTTGGCGTCGTAACTGTGTGCTTGACGGACAATATCCGGTCGATTCTGGCCTGCTGAGGTGGCAGATGCAGGCGATGTATCTGGCCGTGACGCAGCAGTCGCGACCGTATCGTTGGTAGTCGAGACCTTGAGGGCAGGCAATGTACTTTGTATCTCACGGACGTTCAGATGCTGCTTGATGTTGTCGATCTCGGCCGGGTTCTGTAACGCCAAAGCGAGGGCCTCTTTGCGGATGGCGTCAACATCGAAGAGGACGTTCTGGTTTTCCTCTGCCATCCGTTCGCTCTCCTTCTCATCACCCTCAAGGACGCGTGCGCTGCGCTCGTCGTATGTCTCCCAAGCCTTCTTCTGCGACGCTTTCTTGCGCGAGAAGAACGCCTTGAAGCCCTTCTTCTCAGGTTGCTCGTCCAGTTTCCTCCTCGCCTCCTCAATTTCGTTCATTAATTCACGTTGCTGTTTTTCATGGTTCTCCGGGTCCGGGTCCTCGATTTCCGTAAATTCCAAAGACTCCACAGTCCATCCAACTTGATCGAGTAGCACTGGCATCATACCTCGATATGCCATGTGACCGGGAACCCATTCGGTAATGTCGCGATTCTCAATGCCAGCAACCTCGACCTTGCTCAGTCCCGCGACTCTTCGAATGCCACCACTCGTTGCTCGGAACAGGTATCCCAGGATCCAGTCGTTAGTGGCGTATCCGTTCACAAATCTACCGCTGACGATGCTTCGTGCGCGAATGTATTCATCCTTCTGCGCAACGACCGGTGAGCCGAACATGTAGACATTTTGCACCAAGCCGATGGCGCCACGTTTGGCCAGCTCCTTCAGGCAGGAGAAAATCACGCGAGACCCGAGTGAGAAGCCGACAAGCGTCACGGGGCGCACACCAAGATTGCGGTCGATGAGAGAGTCGGCAAGAATCAGGCCTGTGGCGTCCGCTCGCGCGAGTGAGACTGTCCACGGATTGTCGATGAGGTAAGATATCTTTAACAAAATGATGGGCGGAGAAATTCCTGCCATCAGCGTGGCCAACATAGTCGCACCGAGAATTTGCTGAATGGTCGACGTTAACGCTTCTGTGGCGAGGATCTGGATAGTAGCACCAGTGCTCTGGAGCATATCGGGCTCCCAATTGACAGAGTAGATGTCACCCATGACCGGATCCACCGTACTGAACGGCAACCGAACATCGTCGACTTTTCCTGTCATCCATCCCGCCACTGTTACGATAAGATTGACGCGCTTGTTGTTGTAAAGTGGCTTATACTCGAACGTCTTCACAGCCCCCGTGCGACGATTGCTCGTCTTCAGACCAACACCTCCGCCGATGAGCGTACCTGTTGTGCCAATTAATGCAGCAGCGCCTGCGCCGCCGAGGAAAGTTCCAGTACCTGCAACACCTATACCCGTAAATCCTGCGGCGAGACCGGCGCCGATGACGGGTGCGAGAAGACCAGAGCTGAGACCGATGATAATGCCACCTCCCACCGTGCACAATCCCATGACCACATAACGTTTCCGCAAGGCCGCTTTTCTGCGCGCTTCGAGATGATCGTCCTCGTTCCAATTTTCCTTTTCGGCTTGTTCTTGCACCTCCAACGCATCCGTGATCCGTTTCTCAAAACGACAGATTTCTTGCCAGTCTACCGAGAGCGACTCCCCGACCTTTTCTAAAAGTGTTCTTGACCGAGCGTCGTAAGTGCTTTCTGAGATGAGCAGCAGGAATAAATCACAGAGTACCGTCCACCGGAGGTCAATGTCAATGTTTTTGGAAGTGTCAAGCTCATGCGGATCCTGGACCGTCAATTGATCGGCTGTGTGTTCCTGATACGCGGGTGGCGGAGATTCTGTTGCTGGCGTGGCGGGTGTGGAAGACTGATTTAAGTCCTGTCCTTTTGCTGAGCCATCGTTCGTCGTCGGCGAGGAAGGCTTCGAGCTCTCGGCCGTCTTGTCTGATGACGGGTCACCCGCTGCATTCGGATTCTTAACACGCGCATTTGCCATCAGGGTCGGAGTCAGATCTGATGGCAGAACGCCATGTTCGGCCAATTGTTCTACCATGATCTGCTCACGAGCATCGATCTCCATGTGTGCGTATAGCTTGACCATGATTTTCTGACTCCACATTTTGATGGCTTCAAAGGCGAACTCCACCGCTTTCTTCGCGGACTTGGTCTTTTCGAGCTTGTCGACATCTTGGGTCATTTGTACCATAGACAGTCTTACGATGCCCACGTATGCGATTCTTTGGCCTTCGGTCAACAACTCTTTGGTTGCTTGCATTTGCGACATTAGGTCGCGCGACTCCTCTTCTTCTTCCTCGCCGAGCGCATTCGAAACAGGCTCCTTGAAGAGATACGCAGTGTTCTCGTCGAGGCTCGTGGCAGATTGCGCATCCTCGTCCACCTGAACGCGGGTGTATCCCTTTCCTGCGCCTCCCAAGGTCCCGTACGCAACCTTTTGATCGTCTGCCTCTCCGTATTCTTTCGCGAGCACCTTGCCCCAATCGTCGTAGATACGATGCGTGGCCAGCGCTGGCATCTCCTGCCACTCTCCTTCATCCTCCTTCTCTTCTACTATGTCAGGTTGAGTGCTAATCTGCTGATGAGAATACTCGGAGAGCGTGTTGCGATTTGAGTTGGCCGAGCTGGAGATACTTTGAGGTGTTTTCAGAATGTCGGCAATGGTCGTCTCTTGCTCAGGCTTATCGAGGCTGGTCCTCGGGGTCGCAAAGTCTTCTTCACTTGCATTCTCGTCTTGAGTAGGCTTGACGCCCTCTTTTCCCTGTGATTCATCTTCCTCTTTGATCTGAACCGATGCGAGATTTGACCCTCCTGTCTCCTCAATGACTTTCTTGGCAATCTCATCAGGAGTCTCAAGGTCACCCAGCGAAACTGAATACTCCCGCCTTCGACGCGGCCGCGAAGGCAAACCGAACTCATCTGTCTCCGCAGGCTCCGGCTTGGGCTCATTTAGTTTCTCCGACTTGGCCACGATCTGGCCTGGCTCCCGGACATCGTCGCCAGATGCTGCACGGTCCCCTATTGCGTCGCTCCCAGATTTCGTCTTTATCGAGTCATCTTCCTTGGGAAGCATGCTGAAATTTCGTACTCATCGACAGATGGGTGGACGAGTCAAGGGTCATGCCAATGAACGGAACGCAGATCCTGGAGGGGGGCTTCCAATACTTTCACGGTGTAACGATTGATCTCTGTGAAGTCCTCAAGGCGGAATAGGCGTTAGATTCGTATTTATCACTCGTATATTGGTTTCGTAGCGAATCAGCAAGGGAGGCGTGCGTGGATAGTTGTAGGAACACCCCAAATCGCAACCGTCTGAAGGGTCTCACGATGTAGCACGGTACATACGATAGCGGGATGTTCGCGCACTCCCCACAAACCGCCCAGTCGAATCAATTGATGATCACTTTAACCCTGGCTCAACTTTGACCGAGCCATGCGAGATCGTCCAACGTCATTGCCCGTTTGAGATTGGCGCGGAAAGGGAGACTCTCGCGCACGTGCGGCTAAACTGAATGCGGCTCCGACTTTTTTTTATGTCATGGTAGGTCAATCACGAGAGATCCCAATTCTTCGACAGCTGCGAACCGCAACCGAAAATAACACTTCACGATGCGCGGAAGACGTTCGAAGCAATATCGCAAGCTCATGCACCAATATGGCCTCGCATTCGGCTTCCGAGAACCATATCAAGTCCTCCTCTCCAGCGAAATTATCAAAGATGCGGCACGGTGCAAAATGCGCCTGGGGTCGATGCTCGAGGGTACACTTCACGGACAGATCAAACCGATGATCACACAATGCTGCATTCGACATCTTTACAACGCCCAGGATGGCGCCAATCAGGCAGAGAAGGACGCCTGGATCACAGTTGCCAAAGAGGCCGAACGGAGACGATGCGGGCACCATGAACTTGAGGAGCCGCTGAGCGAACTGGATTGCCTGAAGAGCACCGTGGACCCGAAAGGATCTGGGAACAACAAAAACTGCTACGTAATTGCGACGCAAGATGTTGAGGTGCGGAAATGGATGCGCGCCAACGTAGCTGGTGTGCCTCTGATTTACGTTCAGAGGAGCGTCATGATCCTAGAGCCGATGAGCGGGCGGACAGAGGATGTAAAGAGTGCAGAAGAGAAGCGCAAGTACCGCGCTGGATTACGGGACACGAGAGGAGCAAAGTCTACTGGCGAGAAGCGAAAACGAGAGGAAGATGACGACGGGGAGGAGAGAGACGAGGAGGAGACGAACGGCGAAACACACAAAGGCGAAGCAGCGGATTCAATACAGACGCCGAAGAAGAAGAAGGCCAAGGGTCCGAGAGGTCCCAATCCGCTCAGTGTGAAAAAGGGCAAAAAGGAAAAGAAGGAGAAGAACGGGCGCCCAAAGATTCCCGTCAAACACTGGAAGGTTGAGAAAGCCACAGAAGGGTCAGATCCCAGCGCGGAGTCTGGCGCGACAAAGCCTCGGGCCCAAGAGAGCAAATATGAGCGAGAGTCAATAAAGAGGAAACGCAAGCGGGCAGCCAAGTCAGAAGCGGCTGCTGACACAACGGATCGAGGTCATACGAATGGCGTTGGGGGAGATTCGTGATTCCTGGGTTCAAGCAATGGGCATGATCTATGTGATACCTGCATGGAGCGTCTTTTGATGTGACGGCGTTCTCGGCGTTTCGTAGACTCTGTATATTTATCGAAGCTGGCTATGTTTGCACTGAATTCATCCTCCAGCTTTTTCCATATTCCAGTTCAGCGCCAAGTGCAGCATGCTTCTGATTTCCTGTTCCATCGATCAATGTGCATTTGTCGTCGAAGATCCAGCCGTCTTTGCGTAAGCAGACGATGACCGCGATTCGAGCATCGAGACCAGGCGACGCCACGAATAGTGCGACCATTCTTCGTCCCGCAAAGGATTTCATGCCTTTTCCTCTGCCCTCCTCTCAAACTTTCTTTCCCATTTTCAACAAGTCACTGACCTTCGGCGGCAAGACCATCGCACCGCGATCATTCCTCCTCCAAAACTCGACCAGCAATTCCGCTGTGCGTGCAGGGACATCCTCCTGCACAAAATGTCCGGCTTCGGGGATCACAACGAGTTGGAATTTACCCTGCATTTGACCAATCATGAGCTCCTTATCCAAACGATCCGTACCGGCTAGAATCAGCAACTTTGCGCCGTGACCGATCAGGAACTTCTTGCTAAGACCCGTGAACCAGCCCTCCCACCAAGGCGCTGTGGAAGACAGGTCGGTCCGCCAGGTGACTCGCGCGTTGTCACTGAGGTCCGGATCAGCGGTGGCGCGCTCGGAGGTAGGCCTCAGCAAACTGGGCACGCTGGCGGCGGCGCTACGTGCGTCGCGGAGAGTGCGCGAGCTAATATGCCACTTGATTCCTGCGTCGACGCTGTCGAAGGATTGTGGACGGGAAGTTAAAAGTCGACGCATGTGAGTGAGAGCTTCGATTGCAGAGCCCTCGACCACGTCGAGGACGCTGTAGCCGACGAGGTTGTTGCCGAAGATCTTGTAGTGTGGATCTGTAGCGAGAGTGGTCATGACAGCGCCGCCGAGGCTGTGGCCGATAAGGATCGTTGGCGGGATGGTCGGCCAAGACAGCGATTTGGCCGTCAGCCGGATCATAGAGATCACATCAGCGACGAGGGTTTCCAGGCTGAAGTCGACGATGGGTGCCCCGGAGGCACCAATGACTGTAGAGTCTCCATGGCCCCGTGCATCGAGACTGAGGATTCCAGCTTCGGGAAGCAATTGTCGTACTTCTTGAGCAAACACTGCAAATGACAAGCCGGACGCTCCTGCTCCATGGTGACAGATGAAGAGCGGTCCCTTACTCAAGTTTGATGGCAAGGTGATGTAGACGTGATAGCGTGCATGGTCGCCGTTCTCCAGTACTTGATCATGGTAGAGTTCTTGATCGAAGAATCTCGTCCAATGCGAATCAGGCGCGGGCTGCTCTCCGGAGAGGGGCCGTACTGTGGCAATGCTGGCTGCAGACGAGGCAGAAGAGTCTGAGGAATAACTCTCGTCGGGCCCGGTGAGCTCTGGTAGTGGCAGAGGTGAAGGTCGTGGGCGCTTGACAGGGTTACCATCGACGCTCATCCGTAGGAAGTCTGACATTGTTCGCACGCGAATAACAGTTGGTCCCTCGGCATGCTGCCCATTAGGACGGTGCCAGATAACGCAGTCGATGTCACTGATGCAGGTGGGACAGAGGCCATCGTGCTCGCGCGGGCTTCATCAGTGGGGCATTGACTGGGCATGGGACGTGTGCAGATCCCGCAAGTGTCTGCCATGCCGACCGAGTAGTAATAATTGTCAATAGAAGACTGTAATGACAATGAGAATAGTACGCAAGTGACACTTTCGAACATACATGTCACGAGAATGCTCTTTACATGTGGTACGTCTATTAGAGGAGGCGTCGTCGATGACCAGAGCGGGAATTACAGTACACCTGGGCAGTATCTGTTGTCGTCAAGGCCCACCCACCTCGGTCGGGTCAGTCCCACACGCACGAGAACAATTGATTGCTGCGAGCGGGACTCGCCTCCAACCAATTGTCCTGATTTGGTGTCGGGCAAAGCACGCTGCTGCTGGGCCATTTCCCACGCCGTAAATCTCCTGCCCGAAACTGCACAATGGGATGGGCATACAGCATGAGGCTGAAGTGACGACAATTGAACCCATCGCAGAGCACTCCAGGGCTGTACATATGTGCTGCATCTCTCAGGCTGTGAGAAAGGGATTTGCCCTGCTGCATTGTACCCTGTCTTCAGCTCATCTCATCCCATCTCATCAGATGCAAGCACGCGCAGCTCTCCAATCCAGGGTCACGTCGTCCATGCTGCGGTATACAGTTATGAGTGGTGTTGGTGGTGGTGGTGAGTCGTCAGTTCTATCTCACAGGATGACAGCCAACCGGTGGAAGCCTCCGAGGTCATGGTGAAGAGTACAACTTGCTGTTGCTCCCAGGGATGCCTCGCGCGTCCAGTGGTATTCCAACCTTAGCTTTCGCTAGTCGATCGGGTAGAAATCACGCCGGGCCCTATATAAAATGAAGCCGATGGAGAGATTAATTATTGAAAGTCTCGCCCAATGGTCATTGGCAGCAAAACTTGGAATTGGGGAGTCGGACCCCTGACACAAGCGTTCTAGCCTCCGCCGGCAATTGGCTCGATTCTCGCTGCGCTATCTAATAGTATGGGGAAACACTGGAATCATGCAGATGCCCTCCAGGGCTGTGTACAAAATTTAATCTCCATCGGCTGATGCTGTCCATCAACAGAGGAGCGTCGGTTTCGTCGTGCGTTCGTTTGCGCAATTGTTCCATTGTCTTTCCTTCGCCAATTCTTTCAGTATTTTGCCATTGTCGCCAGACGCTCTCCGAAGTCTGTTTTCTTCGGGCTGCGACCCGTCCATTCCGCCTGGGACTCTTTCTCCCCACCTCCACGCCCGCTCCCCCTGAACATTGTTGTTGGGCTTCTCGACAGGGACTGGCAACAGATCGCGGACCACAACCGCCAACCAAGATTCCTACATTTCACGGCCGTCGCACGTTTTCGTCTCGGCGAGTTTCACGTCATCATTGATTCCGGTGCATTCTCGTTCTTCGCCTTTTCTTTTCAACTCCATCCGCCAGCCGATCATTTTCGCTCATTCCGAAACAAATATCTGGAGCCTGTCCTTCCCGTCTCGCCGCAGACTTTGAACCTGGACTTTTGACCGGGCATCGAGCTCGGTGGTTAGAGTTTGCGAAGATGCCGCTATTTTCTCGTTTTAAGAGCAAGGGAGCGCAACCGGCATCGAAGGGTGGACCGCAGGGTGACGATGAAGGCGCCAACGCCAGATTAGCAGCAGCGTCAAGGTGGCAGTCCAATTGGAACAGCAAGACCATTGTTCCTGAGGAGGTTGAAGAGCTTATCCACACATGTACTGCGGAGATGAAGTCGCGAGGTGAGTGACGAGAAATCGAGAGCAGCAACGACACTCGAGCGAAACGATATCTAACCATACAGCACAGCTGAGGCGCTTGATTCGCCCTTTCTCCTTTTGCCATTTCGGCCAAACACCGACCCCCAAGGCGCGCGTACCTTCATTCAGAATTTCTATCGCGCCAACGCCGAACGATCGCCTAAATACACCGGAGCAGCCCTTCAGCAGGAACTGAGGCTGACCGAACCAATTGTGTTGTGTAGCATCATGAAATGGTGCTGGAGCCGTTTGCCAAACGGCGTGGTGACTTGGCCAGTGTACGAGGGTTTCCGCATGGGAGAGAAAGAGTCAAAGATGGCGCGCAATGCATTCGATACCTTCGTTCCGATAAGCGCGGAATCTGAGGCTCACAAGAACATCATCTTCGACTTCTTCGATCTCATTGCGGCTGTTGCTGCCCATGGCAAGAACAACGGTCTCACTGGTCGCAAGCTGTCAAGACTGGCAGGATGGTGGGCATTTGAGCACGCCGACGAGGGTAATGGCTTTGAGGGTGGGTACAAATCGTGGTTGCTGGCCGCAGATGCGACGAGTCACCTTTTCTTCGCATATCTGCGTTCTTTGTCGCCAGATACCGATCCATCAATGAACGTCATCGAGCGCATCCCGCGCTCGCTGCAGGCGCTCCTCCACTCCACGGAATACCCGCCAGAAACCCCGACACTCATGCAACGATCCACCCCGCGCGTAGTAATGGTCGTCAGCAGCGTCTCTCCAACCCCGTTTTCCCTCCTCCGACGAGCCAAAAATTTCGAATACCGCGACAACGATGAGATTCTTCGCGAGTACGCCGAATTCGAGGACCCTATTGATGCTCTGACGGACGAGTGCAAGCGTGTCCTGTATGCCATCTCCACCACCAACCAATCGTCTGCAGCGCGTTCCAGAGGTGGACCTGCTGCCAACCCAGACGAGTCTTGGTCTGCCTTTTCCAACATGGGCTTCTCGGATATCGATGAAAATGCTTTGACACCTAAGAATCCCAAAGCTGCGAGCAACACGATTCGCTCGGAGCCTCAATCGCGAAACGCCGACAATGCTCGTCCGACAACTCCATCTTGGGCAGACTTTTTATCGTCAGGTTTCGCTGACGACGGTACCTCCAAGCCATCTACGCTGCTCTATCCGCCTGCACAGGTTCTTCCTCCACTCGGGAGCCCTGCACAGTCTGCGCTGTACAAGAAAAGTGGCTCTGAAGAGAATCTGGCGCCTGGTGAGCTAGCGGCCATCAAAAATGTGGAGCTAGACGACGTATTCTGGTGGGTGTGGATGACCAGCTTGGCTGGAGAGGAGCCGTCAGAACGCAAGGCAGTCTTTGGTCGTTGTGCTCTGGTCGAGACCACCATCATGAACGGACGATGGCTCATTATGGAGGAGCAGGTGAAAGGCGCCACCCCTGACCCGACCGCGGGCGCCTACATCGCCCCTAAGAAGAGCATCTTCAGCTTCACAAAGCGTACGCGGCTAGGACGTAAGCGATCGACCACCAAGCACAACATTGCCGAACAGACTCCCATGCGTACCCTTTCGGCAACTCCCAGCAAGACCAGCCTCGCTCCTGATCAGCATGCCCGAATCAAGGCTGCAGCTGCAGCTCTGACTCGTAAGACCGAGTCGCCTGATCGCGATGCGCTGGCCCGACGCGGAAAAGCCGACGATACCGCGAATAAGACGAATAACGCACTGGCTGTTGGTCTGCAGAGCGAAGCTGGGCCCGCGATGAAGTTCATCAATGCTTACGACAAGAATGCCATCCGAGCTCAGTACCTGGGCGACTCTCAGGCAGGGACTGGTGCAACAAGAGCGGAATCCTCGAGCGCTGCGGCTGAGGTGGCAACCGCCGCCGCTGTAGCGATTCCCAAGACGCCTGTACACGAGGAGACTCCGGCTCCAGCAGCGACATATAGTCTGTCGCCTCAGCAGCGCCAATATCCTGTCTCACCGAAGGAGCCGACATCTGCTGGCAAGTCGCAGGTCAACCCGGAGGCACTCGCAGCTGTCTCCCCTGTGTCTCCAGCACAAAACAAAGGCAACGATGCTTCGCAATCGCGCGTAGGTTCTCCGAGCACAGTGCCCGCTCAGCCAGAGCCGTCATCCCCGGTCTCTCTTAGAACCCGTAAGCCTGTGCCGAAGCCAACCAGCCCGGTCGAACAGCCGGCCTATCATTCGCGTGACTTCGCGGCACCATCACCTGTCATCCCTATGCAAAATTCTGCTGCAATTGCTGCTGCACGGGCCATGCAGACAGCGTCGTCTCCTACCAGCCCCATAACCTCAGCGGGTCTTAGTTCGAAGAAGTCCAATGCCGGAAATGGCGGTTTGAAGAAGTTCTTCAAGAAAAAGGATAACGGTGACCCCAGGGGTGATTCCCTCGATCTGATTCGCCCTACGAACGCCGCACCGGGTTCGACCAATCAGAGCATCAATCGGCGTCTTTCTTTGATGCGTCGCAAGGAACAAAGCGTGTCTCGGGATAGCGTGGCAACATCCACCTCAGAGGTCGAGTCTGCAGACTTCGCTGCAGAAGCGCCGTCTGTCCCAACCTACCAACCCGCAGCTGCTCCGCCGCCAACTTCGTCCCACTACGAACCTACTGATCCCATCTCCCGCGTGAACACACGAGACGAGGAGGAGCAAGCCCGACATGAGTTCTCCCGCTTTGATCAAGGCCCCATGATGGACATGCCGGCCATAATTCCCACAGAGTCCTTGGAAGAAGCACCGTCCCCCGAACACACACCACGCGAGGTCGAATCATCCGGCGCCCGCAATCTGGTTCCTCAAGTACAGGTCCCTGCTGACTATGAACGCCCCGTGGCACTCACCCACTACCAGCCTCCTCCGACCAGCGACCGTGATTCGGAAACAACCATCGAGGACCACCGCGATGCTGGCCAGGTCCAAGACCGATGGGCCACCATTCGCGAGAACGCGGCACGTCGTGCCAACCGTGCTGAGGAGCGCCAGAGTGAGGATCAAAGCACGCCTAGCCGCTTCAGCCAGAGTGTGAAGACTGACGATGGCGAGACCAGTGGCGAAGAAAGTAAGTTCCCACTTGTAAAAGTTCATTTCATCCTTGATGCGCCTGTTCGCTAACGATCTATCTTGCAGCTATCGAGTCCCGAGTCGCACGGATCAAGGCGCGTGTCGCGGAGCTCACCGGCAACATGGACAACAGCTCCGTCCGTCGCTAAACTGTCGCTGCTCGTACCCCTTCTGTCTTCTCTTCCGATGATGGCCTTGTGGCGTGGCTTAATGAGCCTCTTCTCCCAGCTTCTATCTTCGATTGATTTCCGCACATTTGTACGTCTCATAGCGCGTCGTTTTCGAGATCTGCCAGCGTGGGATCGATTTCTGCTTTCATGCCCTTTACTCGCGCCATTGCTCAAATTTCTCCTTTTTGGAAGCACAGGCGCTCGCGCGCCACGCTTTCTTCGTCTGATACCAAGCGCTTTCCCTACTCTTTTTCCTTACCTTTCCTACTCCATCTTGCTTTTGAGGACGAGACTTCGTTCTGGTTGTATTCGACTTCTTTTGCCTCATCACGTATCCTTCCCATCTATATTCTCTTGCTCCAAAGTCACCATTGCAGTTTCACGTTTCACATGTGTACCATCAAAAACAATATTATAGTCGATAATCTGTAATCAATATTTGCATGACTCGTCCAATGTCTTGTCTTTTACGAAGAGTACACGCTGGTATCTGGGGCGCAATATGTATCGCGAATCCTCTGACAAAGGAGACACAAGGCAATTCTATGGCAGACCATCGCCGAGCTCGAACCGGAATCGGGTATCGCAACCACCAGTCATATTCGAGTATATCATCATTGCGAAGATCCAAGCACCTTGACAGCCATGTGGTGAGATTTTCGCCCTGGTCCTTGAGATCATTCTCTGTTCCTCTGTTCCTATTTATAGCTTTGCCGGATTCGAGCACACGGTTTCCCAATGTGAACGTTGCCGTCAAGGATACCAAACAGATTGACGAAAAGCGGACGATCCCCCCCCCTACCCTGCTGACCACCGCACCAGGAGTGAAACGCCCGCTTTCTACACGTGCTAGTCTACAGTCTATGAGCATGTCCGCGGCTACGCCAACGCATCAAGCGATTCAGGCAGACCCGTGATACCAGCCAGAGCTGCCTTGGCAGATTTCACCGAGGCTTGCCCCACAGCCAACTTCTCTAGCGCAGAGCTCTTCGTGGCGGAGGCATCGTTGGCTGCCGCTTTCAACCAATCTTGCCCGCTTGCATTTCTTTGATTCAGGCTAGGCGCGACGAGATGGCTCTCGTCCACAAGCCGTGCGAGAACGTCCTTGGTCTCGTCCTCTGCAGCAGACATCTGCCTTCGGACGTGACTGCTTTGTTGCTGCAATTGCTGCTCCTGTTGCCTCAGGGCAACAAGTCTGGTGATGTAGGGAAGTAGGGCTTCCGAGGGCACCCGAGGCTCATTCTCCTTCTGTGAATTGCGCCTTTGTAGCGCTGGTGCATCGAATGAGACTATCTCTGCAGTTTCGGGGTGCAGGATTGTCTCGAGGAGCTTCTGCCTCGCATCCAGATACTGTTCGTACAAGCTGGCGATGTCTTCTCCAGGCCGCAGTCCGAAGTTTTCCAGCACAGGGGTTGGTGAAGCTGTGCCGCTCTCTGTAGATGGTTCAACATCGCTGATTAATGCCAATTGCGTCTCCATCCAAAGCGTGAGCTCATTGTGTGCGTTCTGCAGTGCTTGCAGCTCAGTGTGCGGATCTGTCACCGCGGACGCAGATGATTCAATGTCCTCGATCAGCTTCTGGTGAACATCACATTTTCGTTTGGCGCCCAGAATAGCCTGCTTGAGCTGTGTGAGATCTGGACCGGCGTACGAATCGAGCTCTCGCTCGGGAAAGGTCGAGGCGTTAGGAGGGTATGGCACGTCGCCGATCTCCTTTCTAACTACGTTGTCGAAGGAATCAGCTACTGCGTCGCCACCGATTGACTGAATTCTTGCAAAGGTACGCTCGAGAGTCGCAAGCTTGCGCTGCTTCTCTTTCTGTTTGAGCAGCGGTAAGTATGACTCTCGGAGCAGATCTGGTTCCACATTGGGGTGCTTGTTGATTGACGGCGCTTGTGAGAGCTTTTCGACCTCCGTCTTCAAAGCTTGGTACTTTGCTTGGGCTTGACGATGTGCTTGCAAAGCTTTCCAATACGCTTTGTGAACACTCGGTAGAGAAGCAGGCTGCTGATCTGGCAGGGATATTCCCGTGCTGGCATTCACAGCCGTGACGCCCGATGCGGCTCTAATACTTTGTCTGATCTGGTCGACTTCCTGCCTTGAGCGTATAAACGGACGTAGGGCCTCCACGACAGCCGGTAACGGTACGTTTGTTGTCATCTTTTGGTTGAATATTCGATTACACGCGGAAGGGGCAGCACGCGTCCGGAAATCCTCGAGCGAGATACCTACTTACCTTAGGTAGATTATCTAGGTAGGCAGTGGACCAAGGGTCCCACACAAAATAATCATCATTTAGGGTTTGGTACCCGAGCTTGCTTGACTTTGAAGCGCGACTGGACGTGCACATGCCCTAACTTTCTTGATTCCATAGTTCGAAGGAGCAGTCATTCATCATGCTTAGTATTGTCTGAAATATCTTCATCATCACAAATGGCGGAGGCATCATCAAAGACAGAGACGAATAAGCCAGAGATCGATAGATCATTCTACACATGGTCCAGCTTCTTTTCGATTCTGACCGGGAGTGCCTCTGAGCAAGAGCGGAAAACATACTTCCACACCCAGGATGTGTTAAATGAAGAGAAGGATTGTAAGCGATGTGAGGCGGATGTCGAGCATTTCTTCAAAGCATCGCCAATCATTCGGTTCATGAAGCACAACATCGACCTATTAGGACCTGGAGATGGCTCGGCAACTATTACACCGAAGAACATATTCTGCAGACGATGTGAAAACCAAGCTGGTGGAGGATTTGACCCGGAGTATGGCATTTTGATCTGCGCAAATCACATCAAACAGCGCGACCATCTCGAGGATACTTTGGCGCATGAGATGATCCACGCATGGGACTGGATGCGATTCAAGCTGGACCTGAACGATTTGCGACACGCAGCATGCATGGAGATTCGCGCGAGCACGTTGAGCGGCGAATGTCGATTCTGGCGAGAGTTCTGGCATCGCGGACAGTATAAATTGACTCAGCAATTACAAGAATGCGTACGGAGGCGAGCAACGTTGAGCGTTGCTGCTCGAGATGGGTGTAAAGACCAGGCCCACGCTGCATCGGTGGTGAATGAAGTGTGGGACAGCTGCTTTCGAGACACACGCCCGTTCGACAGGATATACCGATGAAACCACGAAAGTGTAGGGGGAAAACGTTCATCTGGTCAAAACTTCAAAATCGTTACGCCAATCATATGTCTTGTGTTCCATGCGCCGCAAACTCCAATCCGCCATTCGCCCGCCCAAACGCCCGCGCGCTCAAATGACTGCAAATTACACAACGCCATAACGCACTCATGGAGAAATCCATCGCTCACGACAGATCAACGAGCCTCAGACTTCTCCTTCTTCGCCTCGCCGCTTGTCCGCTGATAATGCCGCTCACCCTTGACACAGTGTTTAATTATCCAGGGGTGTACCTCAACTTCTTCCAAGCTCAATCTCTTTTCCGGGTCCAATTGAAGCAATCTCTTGATGAGATCTCTGGCTTCAGCGCTGACAAAGGACGGGATCGTCATCTCACCTCTTGCGATTCGGCGCTGTGTCATGGCCGGAGTGTCCTCGAACGGTGCTTCGCCGACCAGAAACTCATATGTGAGCACTCCTAAGCTCCAGAGATCAATCTTCTCGCTGTACCAATTATCTTCCTTGCCGTCTCGACCGCCTTGGTGACGGCACATCTCCGGGGGAAGATAATCAAGAGTTCCACACATTGTGTTCCGACGGTTGTTTGGGGCGTGGACGCTCCAACCAAAATCGGATATCTTGATCTCGCCATGAAGCCCAACGAGGATATTCTCCGGCTTTATGTCGCGGTGGATCACATGCTTCTTGTGCAAATACTTCAGAGCGCTGGCCATTTGCGCAATGTATTGTGCCGCCTGCCACTCCGGAAATCGCTGTGCTTTTCGGAGATGCTTGTACAGCTCGCCTTTACCAGCAAATTCCAATATAAGAAAGATGCGCTTGGAGTCGTGGAAGTGGCCATATAATCGGAGGATGTTGGGATGTGCTAGGTTAGACTGGATTTCGATCTCGCGACGGACCTGCTTCTCGACACGGCCCTGTTGTAGCTCGCTCTTGTGTAGCACCTTCAGAGCGCAGACAAATCCTGTGCTTCGCTCCCGCGCCAGATAGACCCGACCAAATTTGCCCTTTCCAAGCGGCTTGCCGATTTCAAACATGCCGAGGTGAAACGTCTTTGATGATTGTGCCGAACTCTGTGGTTGACTTAAGGGATCCGAATCTGATATCCGCGCTTCCGCTGACGATCGTTGTGCAGCTTGTGACGGAAGTGTTATCTTGGTCACAGACGTGGCCGATGTGGTGTTGAGCACGCTTTTGCCGGCAGCGTTAGGGGCGATCTTTTGAAGTGGCAGTTTCATGCGGTTCTGTGCTGCTGATGAACCCAGTGCGGCCATGGACAAAGCGGTACTTAATGAGCTCTGCTTGTGAAAATTAGCGGATATTCCGTACATAGTGACCTCGATAACGCCTTACAGTTGCTTTGTGCTGGCTGCTATAGGTGGAGCCATGAGTGTTGGCGTTCTCATCCTGAACAGATATGCTTTCAAAACGATGCTCTAGGCTATGCAATTCCGCCATGACTGGATTAATGAGTGTGATTGTGATGTTGTCCAGTAGTTGTATTTCGATGTCACTTGATGTGCTTAAGCAGCGAACGCAGATACAATAAGTATGCTGTGCCCAACGGCTTTGATGCACGAAAGCTAGGCTGCGTGCAGCGTGCGGAGAACAACAGACGAAGCTGGTTGCGTTGCCCAGCAACGAGACCACGTTCTGCGGGAAGCCCCGTTTTTGGTGCATTCGGATCAGTCGCTAGCGCAAATGGTTCACGACTGCGAGCTCGATGACAATCTCATCTCATCTCTCGTCAATTAGGCCATACCCCACCTTGACGTGAGAATCGAGGACAAGATGACGAATTTCGGAGAGTCCAATTTTGGTACAGAGCCTGGCGATGAGATGGCTCTGAGTCGTAATGGCGCTTGGAGAATCAGCGCGCGTAAGCGTCCCATTCTGAAAGCCGAGCCTATAGAAGAATTATCGAAGAGTGTGGGCATTCCAATTCCTGAGATGATCTTCGGCGACAATTATATTGCGGTCACGCATGTCCAGACCGGCTGGACCATCGAATTTAATGCGCATGACGCTTTAGATCGTGTTGGCAAGACTTCTGAGGGTATGCTGCAGGTCGCAGTTGCTGAGGAATGGAAGAAAGAACGAGCGCATCAAGAAGAAGTCAAACAGGTTGTCAAGCCATTTGACTGGAGTTATAGCACCACTTACAGAGGTACGACTCATTCCGGGCGGAGCACAGGAAGTTGGCAAACGTCGGACCAATCGAAAGACCCAGTCAGGACAGATCTGCTCAGTAGGCCGGATCCAATCGAATTCTTTGCGGCTGTAGATCTCTATGAGGATGAACTGGCCGACAATGGAATCGCGCTGTTGAGCATCAAGATCCGAGTAATGCCGGAACGTCTCTTACTGCTTAGCCGCTTCTTTCTGCGCTTGGACGGAGTCATCATCCGTATTCGAGATACTAGAGTTTATGTTGAACACGGATCATCAAAGGTGATTCGACAGTACACGGCTAAGGAGGAGACTTACGAAGTTGTTCGCGATAAACTACGCAGCATGCGGGAAAATGTGCCAGAAGCGTTTAGAGATGCCAATAAAATTGCACCGCTTCTACGGACGATCGAGGACACTACAGATGTTTTTCAGGTTCAGTGAGCTATTTGTCTTCGTGCGGAGAAGATGCCAGAAGGCCCATCGTATGCTTGAAATAAGTCGGGAAAAGTACAAAAATGCAGTGGCGTATCCATGGACCACATGTGCAACATGCGGTATGCATCACGTGCGGCATTCATTGCGTTGCTTCCAAGCCAACAGAACGGTCACGACAATTGCGAAGATGTCTTGTCACAAGATCGTCAAAAAGACGCAGCAATCTGAGATCGGCACGCAATGCCAGTCAGGTTCGAATTTCGAGCGAACCTCGTCCTCGCGTTGAAGGAGAATCCTTTGACTGGGAGCATAGGCCAATTCATCAGGCTCAGAGCTGCTGATCACCTAAATGACATGTGCTGCTTTGAGCTGGTTTACATGTACGCATAAAGCCGATGCTACAGTGTTGCGATCAAGATACCGCGCGTATGATTATTCGGATGTACGTTTTAGAACAGATTCAAAATATTCGGGTCCTCTGCGGTCGGCATCAGCCTGCTTCAGGATGCCACCTCGTAACTACCATTCATCACTGAGTCTTGCTCAGCGCTGATGTGGCGCAGACATGTTTGAGAAACCAAAACCAGAGATGCTAAATGAGGGATGAAATAACCTCAGCACTACATTTCTCCAACGTCATTCTGTTGCATTCGCCGAAACGCCCTCCACGCATATTTAGACGAATGCTCTCGTCATTCACACCCAACGTCGTGAAATTCTGAGCACGTTGCTTGAAACCACGTGATTACTCCTCCATCACGACGTCGCCGTCAGCTTCCGCTGCAGGCTTCTCGTCATCGTCGTTGGGTTCCGCTGACTCTTCTGCGCCATCCTTGGTCTGTTCTTCCGATTCCTTTTCTGCTCCATTTGTCTCGCCGTTGGACTTCTGCTCTGCATGGTCCACAGCTCCATTGGTCTCTGCGCCCTTCTCGCCATCAACAGTATCAATAGGCTTCGAAGCTCCATCAACCGCGGCATCGATTCGCTGGTTCCAGATCTCAAGGAGGGCAGAGCTGCGCTTCTTAAAACTGAATTCGTCGTCACGAGGAATAGAAGCCAGCTTCACGATGCCCTTGAGCACCTTGTGAATCTTGGTTTCTTTGATGATATTGACCTCCAGGTCTTGATGGCCTTCCAGTGTTGACAGATGCTTGTTCATTTCTGCCATTTCGGATTCTTCAGGCGCCTTGTCCCGGGTCAGGAACCCCTTCTGTAACCTGTGTCGCAAGTACAGGATAGTCTTCTGCCGTACTTGAAGTCTCTCGGCTTCGGTCATCTCCGACTGCGGCTCTTCCTCTTCCTCTGCCTTGGGTGCGCTGACGACCTTCTTCTTCGACTTTGGCTTCTTGGTCGACTCCTCGCCGACTGGAGTCTTAGGCGCGTTGATCTTCGTTACCTTCGGTGTCTTCTTGGGCTACGCAAGTGATACGTTAAACACTGATCAAGAAAAGTGTGACAAGAAATGATGCTTACTTTAGGAGTGTCCGCCTCGCTTCCAGCCTCGTTCTTTCGCTTCTTACTCGATTTGGGCGCTTTCGCCTCCGCAGCGTCGTCCTCGTCCTCATCAGCAGCTTTGCTCTTTCGAGCAGGCTTCTTTTTGGTTTTCTCCTTCGTCGCTTCTTGAGCTGCCGCGGATTTGGCAGCCGCTTCGGCCTCTGCTTCGGCCTCCGCGTTGGCTTTAGCAATCGCCTCGTTTTCCTCCTGCCATTGCATCAGGATATCCTTGAAATACTGAAGTTCGTGGTTCTCAGAGGCGACTTCGTAGGCATTCTGCAAGGCCTTGCTCATCTTCGACGTGGTCGTTTTGCATTCCTCCGGATCCAGGGGGGTCAAGCTCGTATTCACCATCCATTGGCTGCGTGCATCAGTCGGTCAATGCACAATCGCATAACAATATTTTTAAGATGACTCACAACTCGTTCGTGGAAAGGAACATGATCGGGAAAGTGCGCTCTTTGGCATTTTTTCCGCCTTCTTCGTAATCTGGACGAATCGTACCATCTGGTCGCGCAGTGCTGACGGGACGAGTTGCCAAAAGCGATTCTGGAAGCATCGTCTCATCACAGATCACGGACGGCCATGGTGGGTAACCTTTGAGTCTCGCCCAGAAAAACTGGCCAGGCTCACAATTCAAATGTAGAGTCGGCATTGACTTCTTTTTGTTGAGCTTCTTCGACTTATGTTCGGGCACGCCTCCGACCGACTTTCGCTTCTTGTCTTTACTGGCTGGTGTAGCGTCTGACGCCGCAACCTCCTCGGATGTGGTTGCACCGGCTTCAGCCGACTTCGATTCTGCTGCCTCCGTCTCTTCTGCGGCGCCATTCTCTCCTGCCTCGACTACTTCATCCTTGTGGCCATTGCTAGTCTTATCGTCTGAAGTTGGGGGTACTGAAGAAGACTGCGCGTAGCTTCAGTAACGATGACGTGATGACGGACAATTTGTTCCAGAGACTTACTACCTCCACCGCTGCGGGCGCGCTCGCAGACGTTTCTTCAGACATGTCGATGTTGATGTCGCGATCTTGACGGAGCAAGGAATGATGTAGGCAGAAGAGGAGCTCCGCCAGACGCGATCGACTTTTCCTGACGCGTAAGTGTTGACAATGGCAATGGCGAGATGCGCAGTCGACTGCTCGGGGGAATGGTCGCGGTCAAAGTACGCGCGTGTGATGACACGTGAACGCGTGCTGGCGATGTTGATGGTAGTGTGCGTGAAGTGGGTGGAGCAGGTAGGCAAAAGCCCAGGCCGCTGAAGCAATTAAAACCGGACGCGTGCACGGACCCTCGTTCAAAGTCTCGGAATTTCAGCCAAGAGAAAGGATTCGGAACGGCAACAGCATTTGTTTAGACGCGCATGTGGTTCTGGAAAAGATTGCTTGTATTTCGATGTACGTAGTTTGTTGCGCAAAATGCCAGTATTCAAAGATACTCTTGCGACGAGCCAGTTCGGCGACTGACGTCCTGAAGATCACCTGAGAAGAGGAGCGAGGTCCCATCAGAATTCAGGAGCCAGACCGAAGGCGCTTTCCAATCCCTCGCACGAATCTGGCCAGTTTGCAGTTGCCGTGTACCACATCGAGCTGCGATCGAATTCGAGTAAAAACTTCGGATACAGCGGTATGTCCGAATCGTGTGGAGCGAAAGTCAGCTGGCGCCATCCAGGCTACACTCTTCGTCTTGGATGAAGTCACCTCTGGTCGGCAAGATTCGAGGCTTCGTTTGACCGCCACCTGTGCCACAGATTCGATGACTTCTCGTCAGCCAGTGCTATGGCGCAGACCCTTCTTGAGAATGTTCGGTAAGTGAGTCTTTGTGGAAGTATGCGGCTGCGGCGTCAAGTGTGTCGCGCATTCGCGAAGCCTCGGAATTTCTTCTGCGCATCGTGAGCGCTGTGGCCTGCGTCGAGATATACGGGCAACACGGAGTATCCGTTCCTCAGAATGTCAGCACGCACTGATTCTGAACCACATGGCCAGCGTTGTCTTGCGCAGCTATTGGAATCTCGTGCGGACTTCATCAGTAATGCTGGCAAGCTTATCAAGCCTAATTCATCATGAGACCCCTGTCTGTCAGCGTAAGAGAAAGACGCGCGTAACGATTACATTGTGGGGATATTCAAACCATATATATCATCAGATGAGAATTATTCAAGAGGTAATCGTCGAACAAAGCGAGAGGCTAAATGAGGCTAGTTGTGCCGAGCATGTGTAGGCTATGGCTAGGAAAATATGCAGCGAGTGCCGTCGAGTGCAAAAGCTGATGGGCAGCAGGCCCAAGAAATTATGCAATTGTAAGAGCCTTGCGGTACAGGCACATCTGTACAAAAAGCTCGTTGTGGCCACGGAGTCATGCAAAATACAAGCGCGGCACGACAAGCTGTGGCCATTTGTTTCTTCCAGGCCGAAGGAAGGGGGTCTTCATCCCAGCATGCATGATATCCGTGTAAAAGCTCCTCGTTTTAGAACAACTCTTGCAGGCCGACTTTGGCTGTGATGCACGGCGATCGACAAAATGTAGACGACCATGGCAACGCATAGGCATACCAACTGCTCGGCGTACAGTGATGGGTGATAATCAGTAGAGACGACACTTAGATCGGATTCACTGGGTGAATGGTCTTGCAGTTCGAGTGTCGATCGGCCCTCGATGTACTGGCACGTCGTGTGTATCAATTCAGACCCATAACAGAGGCATTCGCGCTGTGAGTCGACGGGTCACCATCAAGACGACGACCGCATCCTTATCCTGCTGTGGTTAGGACGGGGCTTTCCAGCCATCGAGGGTCCCATCGGCAATGCACAATATTGGCGGATGAAGTGTCAACATGCAGTAGGTACACTGACGAGACTTGGCAGTGCGGAAAAGGTCCGCTGCCGATCACTTGATTTGAACCATGCCCGTGCCCTATAAGAGCCCCTGGGGGAGAATGTCAACAACTACCTAGGTACATTGATGCGCAATTGAGCGCTTCTTCTCATACCATTTGCAATCAAGCAATCTTGCAAGGATATTGGATTCAAGCATGCTATATACTTTATTGACGGAGTGATGCAGAAATAGCACGTTCCACCATATTACAAGAGCGTAGCACGTCGGCGCACACGGCATTAACGCATCTGCACCTGGACAAGAAAACCACCCGAGTAATATGAATGTGACCAGTCTTGATCCCTATGCGGGTCTGAGGACTGATGTGATCAACACTTATTCGAAGAATGAATGCTTACAAAGCCGATCAAATCGTCACTTCGTAAACAGCGCCTCCTATGGTTACATTGTGGTCCAGATATTGCTGCAGACCTCCTGATGTCGAGACGAATAATCGTGAGGCGCCATGGCTTCTCGATTTACCCCAACGAGCAGAGGTTGGGCCTGGTAAATCCAGAAGGAGCTGGATCGCACCTGTCTGCAAACACACTTCCAGCAGTTGTTTACCCACTCCATCGCAGACGTATGCCACACCTTTCTGGGGGTCCAACTCAAAATCGTCGGGGCCAATAAGGCCCGATGCAATTGTCGAGGCGTCTCCTGTATGCATGCCTGTCCTCGGATCAATCGGTATCTTGTATAAGGTGCCACGCGCCGAGTTAGTGAAGTACAAATGATCCTTCGCCACACGTATCCCGTTCACGCCGCTCGATATCTCTGAGGTCGCAGTCATTTCCTGAGTACCAAACAGAAATCCAGCCTCCCCGGTCCAGATATTGGCGCGCCAGATAGAGCCGAAAAGGCTGTCTGCCATGAGAATGATGCCCTCACGAGGCTGCAAAGTTGCCATGCCGTTCAGTAGACCTGCGCCAGGCAGCACAGCTACCTTCGTCACCTCGGGCAGATCATTGAGGCTTTTGCAGTTGCGAAAATCTACCCTCCAGACTGAACCACTTCCAGGTGTGCAGGTTTGCGTGCCGACGATGTCACAAGTCAGCACATCTACCGCAAAGACGTCCGAGATGACTTTGGTAATCCCTTGGAGCGCATTTCCATAAGCAGAGAAATCGTGGACGAAAAGAATATTGTTTGTATCTGGGTCGAATTCACGCAATATCGGCGAGGTATTCGATACTGCGAGAATGTTGCCATTCGCTCGGACTGCCAGGTTCTCTATCCATGTCAGAAGAGGGTATTGACGGACCAATCGATCGTCAATACGCTGCAATGCCGATGAGGTACCAGTACAGATTCCCGTGTACACGAAGATGAGACAAACGAGGTGATATAGTCGTGGCGTCATGCGTGTGTTCACCATCTTGAATTCGAAAGTGACGGCAATACTGACTGTCGTTTCATCTAATTGTCGGTCTGGCTGGCGCGATGGATTCTGTTCTTTAAGAAAGTACTTTAATGTATCGTTGGAGCTGTCCTTCGCGGCTTCGCTTAGCGCTGACAGGAAGCCAACCATAGTACGTGTACGCCCGGATGCCTGGATGAGCAAGCAATATTACGGTTGACCATTCCGTACATCGTACGTCACGCAGCTGTGGCACGATCGCGTTTGATGAAGCGTATAGCTCGATGTCCACGTTCTTGACCGGGTTTGGTTCCATGCCCTTCTCTCCAGCAGGACTCACAATAGATATCATCATCGCATCCGGAACATCGCACAGTACCATCCTCATTGCAGATACAACACCACGAACTGATGTCATCGTCCGAAAATGTGGATGGCTTTCCTTTCCGCAGTCGACTCAAAATCGTGGTAGGCGTAGAGGGCAGGTTCATGGTCAGGCTTTGGAAACGTGCTTCAAGTTCGCTATCCTCGTATGTTGGCGGGTCGGCTGTTTTTGAAGTTGTCTGTTGCAACATGGACGACGGGGTGCTAGGAAAAAACGTGTCTGCGTTGACGGACTGGGTATCGTCTACCTGGACAACTTCTTCGTCATCCTGCTGGTCAATGTTGTGACGTCTCTCGTAGTCCAGCTCTGCGAGCACTTTGGCCACATAGTCATCAGCATTGTGGACGTCCTCTCCCTCAGATGAGTGTCCGCTTGTGCTTTCGGGCGTGTGCTGCTCTGTCAGTGAAGGACGAGGCTCACCGGACTTCGGAAGGGCTTCTTTGGCCTCTCTAAGCAACGAGGCAATGTGCTCGGGGTCTTCTGGGTCTAAACTCCATTGCTCGCTGGGCCCGAGCTGAGCCAGGAGGTCATCAAGACACTCATCAGCTGCACCATCAACGTTCGATACTTCGGTATCATATATGCGAGGCGGACGCGTCTCGACAACAATCTCGATGCTCGAGGCGGCTGCTTCAGTGGATATGGGAGCCGCTATCTTCGTCACGGGAAGTGTGTTTCCCGACCTGAGTTGCCGCAACCTATCTGCGAGCTTGTCTTCACGCGATTGCGGCTTGGTAGACTCGTCTCTGATCAATGGCACATCTTGGCTGAGTGTAATCTGTGATGGTTTCAAAGCATTGAGCCTAGTCAGTAGATCGTGGTCGTCGCCACCCATGGCCTCGGACGGGCGTCAGCCAACAATGGAGCAACACCTCTTCCTGTGTATCTGACAGTCCAGTCCAAGGTCGCGTCACCCAACCCCGACTGGTCAACACGAATCAAACGAATACCATCAAAGGAGGTGGATAATTTACGCTAATGTGCAAATGCTGGGAAACCTCATCAATGCCTCTGCACGACTCCTTGTACCGGAACAATGTCGATGAAGCCCACCTGTTCTCATAGGGTTGGTGGTAGATTTGGGGTAGCTCAGCTAGGGTTGATTCGCTCCAAGCTCCAACAAGCCCATTTGAACCTTGATCGCATCTCCTGCAACGCGTGTGATCAATCAAGGCATATCCTCGACACAATGGCGGACATCAATGCGACCCCCGGAGAACTTAATTGGAGGCTGAGCGCACACCCGATCACCCTCGTTACATTTCTAGCGTTCCGCATATGTGAGTTTTCTTCAACTAGCCAGCGCACGAACGAATTGCTCATAATCACATCCAGCAAGCCTCCTGCCATACCTGCTTGGTCTCCTCTTCACAGATGACCTCGTCCTGGTCTTCATCATCACCATTCTCTTACTTGCGGCCGACTTTTACTACCTCAAGAACATCGCCGGCAGGCGGTTGGTGGGGTTAAGATGGTGGAACGAAGTGAACACGCAGACTGGTGATACACATTGGGTATTTGAATCCGCTCCGCAGCCGAACGAGCCTGGTGGACGCGTAGTCAATGCGACGGACAGGCGCTTCTTCTGGCTCGCCCTATACGTGCAACCCGCGCTTTGGATTGCTCTGGCAATTTGGGCGACAGTATCGCTGAAATTCCTGTGGCTGCCACTTGTTGGTATGTACTATTGCGTCGACGACCAGACCGCCACGCCCAATCAATGCAAGATGCTAATATGGACAATAGTCATTGCTTTAGTGCTGACCATTACGAATACCCTGGCCTTCTCCAGATGCGATAAATTTAGCCAGGCAAGCGGCTTGGTAGAACGAGGACTACACTCTGGATCTCTCGCCAGGAATGTTGGCGGTGCCTTACTGTCGCGCTTTTTGACTCGATCTTAGATCGTTGCGGTCGACGCGCCATTTATGGTCGACGCAAATCCATTGTACAATGCATGTTCTAATTACGATATCCCGCAATACTCCAGCTGCCCCATTTCAAGCCATACTTTGTCCAAACGCTATCGTACCTGTCTGCCCATGGGCTGCCGTGGGCCTGAATCGGAACCTGAAGTCGCCAGCAGAGACGTTGGGCGATTTCTCCTCAAGGACAAGCAGACGTGGCATTTCGTTCGCATGCGTGGCCAGCACGGTCAATTTATCTGTGACTTACTGCTCACTGCCGACCGCGGCATGCTAGTGATGGGTCTTGGTTGAGATCTGACGGGCGGAGAGTGGTCGATAAGTTGTCGCCGCCGTCAACTTGCCGCTGCTGCGTAGTCTGATGGCGCAAACTTGCGGCAATCTAGGAGCCACGACCACGTGACGAACCTCACAGGCTGTCAAGCTTGACTCTGGCTCGTGCCATTTCTGGAATTGCTTGAATGTTTCGAAGACCACCTGGGTAGCATGAGGAAGACTTGGCTCTACTCCGGGCCGGCGAATCCACTGTCCCGTCTGAGCACTATACGCATGGTTAGTCAGCAAAGTCGTTGTATAGCGAGGTTTTTTGCTTCAACATACGGTCTGGCTCCGACCCGGACAAAGTTGGCAACTGCAGCAGCTGATAGAAGTACTCAAAAAGTGCTCTGCGCAGTACTGGATCTTCTTCTGCGCTGCTCATCGGATAGTAGATTGAGTCTTGTGGCTCCCACAGTTGGACGCCATACCAGGTCAGAAACCTGCTTGATAGCATGGCTGAATATTGTTCGAGAGATGATTGATGCTGAGAGATTTTGGAAAGATTGCCTGACCCCACAAGTCTCAACATATGCTTCTCTGCCATCTTTCGGAATTCGATTCTGCGGTCAGGCAGGAACTTTAGTCTTGACGCGGCTGAGTTGAGCTTCATCATCTGCTCATCGAACGTTGAATACTGTTGTTGCGAAGGACCCATCGTGAACGTGTGTGAGATCAAAATACTTGCAGAAGAAGAGAAGAGAAGGGAAATGTGCGCGGAATGGTCATTTCAAGCATTCGCCGCCACTTTGTGTGAAAGGTACGCCGGCAAGTGAATTGCGCATCGCTTGACAGAGCACGGCTCACCGATAAGACGTTCCCCATGTGTAGATACTTGTGCTACCGCCTACCACTGGATCTTTGTTCAGCTCTTGTAGCGACTACATGCACAACCGTTGTCATCATTGCACGCATGCCCAAAGAATCATCAGCAGGCGATTGCTGCAGCTGGTTCTCTGTCACCCACGCCTTCTCTGACGTGGGTCACCCGCGCTCGAGTGGCGTGACACTGCGTGGAAGAAAGCATCGAATTCAAGTTGTACTACTCCGCACGAAAGGAGATCATTATCGTGGTGTTGCATCCGCGACAACTACTGGTCACACTGGCTGATCAGGGCACAGGTGAATGTCCCTCGTCAAGATATGGAATGGACCATTGTCACGATCCATGATAGCTGCTATTTTGTACTACAGTACATAGTGATCGTTGATCTGAAATGGATGCTGAAAGAAGTACACTGAGGCGCGCAATGCGGAGAGCGCGCCACGATGCCACGCCCGATGCCACGCCCGTCCACACTAATCTGATTAGTCTACAGCCCAAACACCTGTTTGCGACTCGAAAGAAGATAACGCGAACATAGGCAATGTTGGGTTTTATGCATATCCAGGTGCTACTAAAGCACAGTAGTCCGAGGATGCGACCATGAATATGCATACATCGAGCACATGATGATGCGCGCAGCGTACTATCGTCAACAGGAGCCGCTACGAGATCCGTCTGACTTGTAGTTCCGACACTTGTCAACCAACTGTGCCCACGTCTTGCGGGAACAATCTGGACCAAGCTGCAACGCACGGACAAAGCGGATCATCCGTTCTAACTCATGCATGAATCTGAAAATTGGAAAGCTGCAGCATCAAGACCGTCGCCCCTTCATAACGTAAAAACCCAAGCTTTGTGACAGTGCGACTCAATCACTGGTCCTTGGCAGTCCACATCACGCTGGCTGGAGCATGCGAAATCGAGCGCGATGGCGTATTGACCAACCCAGGATGGTCGCGAGTCTTCGTGAATGATAGAGACTGTGATGCGATGACGCGCCGCTGACGGAATACGAGCTGATCATCATGTTCGTCTCATTGAGAGATCGTGAAGATGGCGGGATCGTCCGGAGCAGATCGTGCCTATATTGGACAATGCATACTGTAGATCGGACCCGGCACCTCAGGTGAACGAAGTGATTGTTGCAGCTCCCCGCTCTGGAGCGCGCTTTGCACGAGATTCGCAGAGGGCCAGGAGCTCCATGCACGCTTCTAGACGGGCTGGAGAGAAGAATGTCCCCAGTCTGAGGTTTCCGCTCAAGGTAAATGAAGATGAAGGTTCATCGGAAACAAAAAATGAATGTTGCCCAAGACCTTTTGCAGCAACGGCTCGTTGTGAGCGTAGTGGTCTTCAAGATGCAGCCAATCACTGATCGACACGACAACTTCTCGACCATAGGCGGTATGAATATCTGAATGTTCGGCATGACGTTCCTCGGCATTGACCAGGCCTACATCTTGTCAGCGACTGGCATGAACAACATTTCCGGACCGGACCGATGCTTACTGGACGCAATTGTGGTTGATGACGACCTCTCCGATGATTCCGTTGACGAGCGACTGCGGCCACACTCAGCGAATGAGATGTTCACAGTTGCGTGTGGCCGTTGCGATGGGGTCGGGGGCAAGGGTTTGCTCGGCGGGTAGCCACGACATGGAGGATAAGCGCCAGGCATTTCTGATTCACTATCGTAGTGGAAGATCTCGCAAATGAGGGTGACTTGAGTTTAGCAATATGGGCTTGGGACGTTACTTAAATCTCCGGCAGGCAATGCTACAGCGTTGGTATCGGTCAAGGCCGTTTGTTTTGTTTCAACACGACCTGAATGCTCGAGGTCCAGAAAAGAACATGGCTTGCCCCACGCCCAACGTTCCCGTGCAGCTGCCTGAAACAGACCAGGACTGAATGTTCCTCCGGACAACGACCCAACGGATCATAAGCAGTGGAGCTCGACCAAACATTTGCAGGCTGAATGCTCCTTAGGATGAGTGGCCAGTGGGCCTAGTTGACCGAGCCAAAGGATGAGGTAGACAACATCCGAATTTGGTCAAGCGTCTACCAATAAACATGGACGCACGGAATGCTAATATGAGAGAAACATCTGAGCGATGGTCGAGCAATCCTGAATTCTTCGCTGCAATTGACGTAGAGGCCAGCATGCGGTGCGGTGCGGTGTTGGTACGAACAGTGTGAAGACTAGCAACTTGACGAATATCCTGCCACGCTTCGCCAACCACTGTACTGGTGTTGGTTTCCTTATCGTCTTGCGAATGCGCAATTCCAGCTGGGAAGCTGAATACACGTTGGAAAAAATTGAGACACTGGTCGTCTGGACTAAGCATTTCCAGGAACGCAAGTGCTCATCACTTTGGTGGACCTGATCATGAACCAGCCGTGACGAAGTACTAGCGTGTCAACATGGTGACATTTGACAAGCCTTAATCCCGCCGTAGAGGTTTGCATCATCCAAGTGGTGACGAGAACCACTAAATGCCGACGAGAACCATCAAATGATGGCCTTGCAGCAGCTGCCGTCACAACGGTGTTTCAAAGCTCGGCTTCCTGTCAGCTGAATGTGGCTGCCACGCGGAGCCTGACGACCTTGTACCGCGAGTATCAAAGTGGTGTTTGTTGTTGCGAAGGTCCCATTCGACCAAGATATATGTTTGATTCAAGGTGACAATCTAACGTCGGCCGAGTGGACGAATCGCGGGTTTCCGGATACGGCTTTGCTTACCGGCAGCATACCTACTGCCGGATGCAGCTCCGCATCGAGGCTTCATCGGCGATAGCAGTCATCGCGAATCTCAGTCGAGATCGCGATTTGCACATGTCAGCCTGTGAGAAAAGCTCAAATGCCGATCGTAATGACTTCGCCCAGCGATTTCGAGGTGGCAAGCCGTCAATTCGTTTACATGCTTGTTGTATTCAATGAAATCATCGAGCAAGTAGGCACAGATGGGTGCTGCTCACTCTGGAGAAGAGAAATTATCCCGGGCTTGATCACGAATCGTACAGAGTCCCGAAACTGCCGTGTCGAAAGCGTTGAGACGCGTCTGACGAGTCCACCGACACAACCACACCAAGGGCAGCGATCACCTGATTATGTTAAGAACATTCTTTCATTCGAGAATAATACTGTATGTGCGGTTGTGGCTTCAGCCGATGCATACATGGGCTATGTCTGGCGCAGTACAACGATACTGAAGGGTCGGCTAGAGCATTGATGAGAAGCTGACGGACTTTTCTTGCGTTCATGCACTTCGCCCAAAACAATCGATTGACATGTAGACCTGGGTAGTTGTCATGACGCTACCAAACATGGGCTTCGCTGATTCAGATGCTGCATCTTAGTGGTAGGCGCCCTGCTACAACGAGCTCTGTACCTGCATTCGCGGATGTCGCGGACCACATCCGGAAACACACGTGGCATGACATCTGTGGATGATGGTGATACTGAAGATCAACAGACACTGTTGGGAACTGTGGTAATGTGTACTCTCAAAAGATTGCTCGCATTCCAAGATTGTCAACAGCTCAAGCTCGTCGTGGAATCAAACATTGCTGGTGAGTATGACGACCCACGCTTGCCTGCTCCTTGTTCCTATAATCACGGTCATACTTGATTTGACGCGCAATCCTGTTGCAGCACGGTGTCATTCGTAGAGAACAATGTCGAAATGTTGTGACGGCGATGGAAAGTCACGAGCAAGAAGATTCGGTGAAGGATCAGACCCGCTCCCGGTCGTTGAAGCGGCCGAGAACTGCGTCATGTCAAAGATTTCACATACGAGAGCGAGGTTCAAAACCTGTTGAAGCGCCAAGGATGGACGTGTTCGGGTCAAACCCTTTCCTCTCTCGTGATTTGCAGTAGCTCGTTGGCAATATCAAAGATGCGAAGCTGGTCACTCCTTCTTTGTACGACCGATGTACAGTCTGAACGAAAGATTCTATGGTGATGGTCTTAAGAGACATGAAACGTCAACTTTGGTCTGGTCTTGAAGTGATAGCTAAAGCTTTCGCGTCCTTGATCACATCATCGACCCATGAAGCGCAATTGGGTGGCGGGGGGCTGATGTTCCGTTCTGTGAGTACCCTAGGATCATGGGGAGCAGGCTTGCTTTCACAAATTTGCTCCCAATCTTGTAGTGATTCTTTCTTGATCGGAAACAGAAACGACTTGCTCTTGTACGATTCCTCGCGTGAGAAGTCGAATCGCCCACGCTTTTGATAATCCATACCCATACCAACACTCCCGATGACATGATAGAATCGACCAGCATTTTGTTCAGGCATTTGAGCAGGCACCAGAGCTAAGCCTTCATGGTCCGGACCGTGCGATTGAGATGACAGGACCCGATAGACGTTGTAATGTGTTGTGTCTGAGGACATGGTATAAATCTGATTGGTCGACCCGACGGATAGGTTTGCTTGCTTGGTGGAATTGCACGTTGAATGAAGGTGAATAGTCGCGAGCTTGTCTTGCACTGGGAAAGTTGTCGAGATATCCGCTAGGCAACCACGTAGTAGTGCCGTAAACCATCTATACTCTGGGGCCACCAGCAAATTATTACAGTAGCTCCGGAACCTTTAAGCGCCTACGATACGCCAGTCTACGGCCCTCATGGTCGCGGCAGCGCAGCCTAGCCCATTTGGCCTCCGTCTTATGCAGCCAAGTGCCTAGGTAACCTTGAAGCTCACTTTTGTTCTGACGATTGCAAGTTTGTGTTTGTTACACAAAAGATTGCCTATGTTTGCCGTTAATCGATGTGTGCAGCTTTGTGTTTCACAGAATGCGGTCTGATCTGAGGGTGGCCACATAGATTCATGAATGACTGAGAAAGCTGTGTGCAAAGCCTGAGGATAACATCTCCAGCAGTCAAGTTCGAGTGATGCTCGCTTGTGAACTTAGCATCGAAAGACTTGCGCTGCGTTCTGGCGAATGAAACTGGCACTTTCGCGCTCTTTCATTCAGCGAGTATGAATTATTCTGTTCAATTCCGGCCCTGAGATCGGCCCAATGGTCTAGTGGTATGATTGTCGCTTCGGGTTCTTCCCTCTTCTCCACGAGAAGAATGATTGTGACAGGCCCCGCGTTCGAATCGCGGTTGGGCCCGATTGTTTTTGCATTTCGTCTTTGCCTTTTGCAAACGGATAGGTTTGTCTTGCCCGCAACAACCGAGAAGGCTATAAACACGAACTGGCAAATAAGTTTTTTTTTGGTACGGGTCCCCAATGATGATCAGAGGATCGTGATAATTTCCAGTCGTCGAAAGCGTTGCTCCAAGAAGCGTGCAAATTCCGCCATGGGAAAGGACATTGTAATCAAGAACAAATTTGGAAACTCCGCGGGGGTCCAAAAGTACGGCGAACGAGATCGTTCAGATTAGGAAACCTACGACGTGCTGTCTTGGTAGATACCATTGAACATCTATCACGATCTCGGCGGTAGTCATATCAGTGACGTGATTGTCATCGACACTACCCAAGTCGTGGACCGTCATGTCGGCGCGACAGCCACTTGCAGTGCCCACGAGGTGCCTGCGCTCACAGATCAAGAAGCGCATCAACTCCCATCGAAACGCCTCAACCACTGCTGTGGCACCAACGCCAACAGGAGGACCAACAGCGACAGCAACACCACCGCTATGGCGTGGAAAGGTATCCCTTACTCGCTCTGGTGCGCCATGGACTGGTAGCATGGAATGGCAGACTTCGACCTATTCTTTCAACAAATATACTACAATCCCACTTCCGGCAGCCGCTGCGAATGTGGAGAGGCTCATTGAGAACTTCATCACGCTGAAGCATGTCGGAGATCAAACACACATGGATCCACGTGCTATCAAAGCCGCTCTCGCCTTACGCAGAAAGAGTGCCACAAAGGTCTACGCCGGCTCGCCTCGGATAAAGGATTTTGGGACCCACATTCAGATGACTGTCTTTGTGTTTGACGGGGCCGAGGACGTGACCTTGAAGGAGCAACAAAAGTTCAAAAACCGGAAAAACGCCGACACGACGGATCGGAGGACATCATCCAAAACAGATTTGGACAGAATCTTGGAACCTGAGCAGCAAGCTGGTCTGCAGTCGCTGATCGCACGGATCTATGGCAAGCCAGTCGACCTGAGACTCGTCAAGTTGGCAAAGCCCCATCTCGATGCCGAAATCCTCGCAGCTTTCGTCGCGCAGAGGCTGTGCGACCGTAACAACACCCCCCGGCGAGTCATCCGTGACTCGACCTGGAAAGCACCGCTCCCCGATCCACGGGTAATCGCCGTCACGCGACAGACCAAAGCGCTCAAGCTCATTCGTGGTGGCAAGAAGTTCGCTTGGCAAGACCTGACCATGAAGGAGCTCGCCCCGACGTGCACATCGGCTATCATGAAGGAGCTCGCCGTCAGCCAGGTCAGCAGTGTACAGGTTGAGGCGGCTGGTCGTCTCACCAAGCGTCTCACGGCCAACAGATCTGCACGCAAGATGGCTCGTCGCGGTACAACGACCAAATTGCCAAGCCCGATATTGCTTGGTCATCGCAAGAAGCACTTGCAGTATGCTTTCCGAAGCGGCAAGAGACGTGTTGGACAGTATGGCATCCGTGTTTTGTTGGGTCACACTTAGCGGCTGTGTGTGTGGATGTATGTTTGGGTCCTCACGAATACTTTGCCAGGTCAGTCGTACATCTGCTCGAGATCGACAGGACGAGGACCCGTCTTTTGGTGCGACCACGTCATATGAGATGTGGCTTGATGAGCAGCAGATTACTGGTGACTGGTCACTGTACAATAGGACTATACGAGATTTTCTCGCATCGCCATCATCAGGATTTCATGTAACATCTATTTTATTGGGTTAGAGTCAGTGAGCAAGGATCTCTGAAAGAACAGCATTTCTTTTTAGTCGTTATGGCTTAATTCATGATTAGTCTCATTATTTATCGGGAGAACTGCGCCTCGCCGAGCATCATCGTCACGACGAGCGTAATGAAAACCATTGCCGATAATGGACAACTTATGCCAGGGTTGCGGAGGCTCCTCCGCCTTTCCGGCAGAGATCTTTATTTGCTCATCTTGTCGATGACTTCTCTATGTGCCTTCCGGTCTCGCTCGGCTTCGCTTAAGGGCTGAATGCTGCGCAGATCACCAATGACATCTTTCGCCTTGCCAAAGTAGACCTCCTGCAAGAGATTCCGCATTCGAGTTTCCATATCCTCAATCATCCTTCCAATATTGCCGATGTGACTCTGCTCAATCTCCGCGTCGCGTAGGCCATTGAGTGTTAGATCCTGCTGTGTCTGTCGCGTGAGATTGCCTGCCAATTCGAGACTGTCGACCGCCGCTGACTGAAGACCTAGGTCCAGGATAACCGTCGAGGTGAGCTTGTAGTGAGCATTGCGCTTCGTCGCCGCCTCCGCTACCTCCAGCACGTGGATACTGTCCCAACCTCCGCCGCCTCCGCTACTGCTCCCACCACTACCCGCTGCCGTCTTCTTGAATAACACGCAACCCGCAAATCCTTCGTCGAGAGTCCAGAGATACGCAGAGCTAACACCGCCTTCGTAGTAGAGTTCGCGATAGACGTCCACGGCTGCATTTAGGCTCTCCTCCATGCGGCGTACGCGACCTACGGGCACGATGTCGGCGGCATCTTCCGGCTCTATTGGCGGTTCGAATTCGTTTGACCAGGGACTGCGGTAGGAGCTTCCGTCGCGGTTATAGTCGCAGCAGAGGTAGTCACGGCCAGATTTGGTGCAGCGTTTGGATGTGAGCGCGACATCTACCGAGGAGAGAAGCTCTTCCTCGAGGTCGGGTTGGAGGGAGATGATGCCCTGGAGGTTTTCCTGGGTGGAGGAAGGTGGTAGTCGACGGAGTAGATCGCTGTGCGAAGGTCAGTACTGTCGCTATCCAAGCCAGGATGCCGTGAGGCCAGTAGACCCACAGCGCAGCGTCAAAGGGATCGGCCATTTTGAGTACGTCGTGGAGCGAACTTTGTGGTGTCTAGGTGAACATGCGAGATAAACCCAAAGTAATGCTTGACCAAATGCGACTTGCTGTGCACGAGTAGCTTTGCCCTGTGATGTGACGGCGGATTGATGTGGGGCAAAGCCGCGCCGAACATTGGTCGCTTGTTGTGAACGTCACTTCACTTTGATCATGCTACGGACGGATCGCTTCATCATTATCGTGATGGGGGCGATTTAGACTGCTCGACTTTATGAAACTGCAATGACCATCGTGAACAGACATCACTGAATTCGCCCGCGAGCAACTCGTGAATTGATATTATTTCACAGACCCAGAGTCAATACCAGCTGTAAATACTCCAAACTACTCGTCGCTTTCACTATCCTCGACAATTCTTTTCTTCTTCCCTTTGCTCACGACAGGGAGCTCTGCGCCGGAAGCATCAGAGCAGGAATTAGCCGAGTCAATCTCCTCTACGTCACTTAATGCGCTTCTAGCAGGAGCCACTTTTCTCTTCAGGCCCATATGCTTCCTCCGACGAGGTAGGCCGTCTTGCGAAGAGCTTGCCATCTCGATTGGGTCGCTTGATTTCGCAATGAAGCCATCAAGTTCGCTATCAGAGTCGTCTTCGTCGTTGTCCTCGCCACTCGTGTCTCGCGATCCAAGGTCGATGCCTTGCGTGCCGATGCGCATATCTGCCGGCGTCGGCTCTGGGCTTGATTCATCGCCCTCTTGGGCGGAGGAATGGTATGTCATGAGAGGCCTTGGAGACGCAGCTTTCCTTGGTCTTCCTCTAGCAGTTTGAGCATTTTCACTAGCGGCGGTCGCTTGGGCCTTCGGAGGTCTAATTGGTTTCACGGCGCTAGCTTTTGATGTAGCTTTGGATGCAGCTTTGGGTGCTGCCTTACGTGCTGCCTTGGGTGCTACCTTGGGTGCTGCTTTAGTTGCTGCTTTTGGCGCTGTCTTCTGCGCATCTATCTTGGTCGTCGGTCGTCCAGATGGAAGCTCAGTTCGTACGCCAGCTGATGAAGCTTGTGCTATGATCTTTCCATTGGTAGTTGAATCGGGATCACAGAGCCTGTAGTTGGCTGCACCAGAGCTTTCAAGTAGGCTTGAGTCCAGTATATCGTGCATGCGGTCCACTCGATCGTCATCAATGGCCTGTATGCTGAGCATCATTCTTTGGACGATGATAGCGCGACGATGCGGAATGAATTTTGTTTGACCAAGTCTGCGGAGCTGGCTCGTGGAATTAGATAGGCCTGGCACATGAATCGTGTCATCCTTGTCATTATGTAAAGTCTGGGCATATTTCTGTCGCCAGTCGTCAAGCTGAATCGAAGAGAGCAGAACGTCGCCCATGAAGGGTAAGGGTGCAGGTTCTGGCTTAGGTGATATTGGCTGCGCATTTTTCAAGGTTGATGTAGATTTGCTTAGTCGAGCCTTTGTGGTCGCTGGGACATTGCTGTTGACGTCTATGCCTTCTTCGCTATCATCATCTGAATTAAGCTTCGACGCCCGTACAAAGGTCGTTCGCACTCCATCAGGCATGTGGAACTTTTTCGGAGGACGCTTCGTCTTACCCTTTCCCCTCTTTCCCTTCTCGTTTAGATCGACAGGTTGGCTGTTCTCGACTGGAATCTCGACGGGACGCTTATCCACAGTGGGCTTCGCGTCTTTCGGCAGGATGCGCGGACTCTGTTCGTCATGGAACGTGTATCGAGATGTGTCTGCAATCGTCTTTTGAATCCAAAGATAATTGTCCTGCGACTTCGCGTAATCATTCTCTTCTTTACCTTTCATTAGCAGGAGCACAACACGGCCCAGCCGCTTGCGTCCTGTACGGCCGATTCTCTGCAGCATGCGAATTGGAGATGAAGACGAATCGTAACAAATGATGAGATCTACCGTTCCGATGTCGAGACCCTCTTCTCCAATCGACGTAGCAACCAGTGTGTTGTACTTGCCGCTTTTGAAGTCTTGTATTACGGCATTTTGTCGCTTTTGGTCCATGCCTTCAGACCCATTCGAAGCAGCTTGACCAACAAAAACGTGAGGGCGGATCATTGGTTCGTTTCGCTTGAGAACCCGGCAGATTTCCTCCGTACTATCACGATAGCTGGCGAAGATCATGATCCTTGTGGCACTTGAGGGAACATCACTGCCCTGTCGGCCTTCGCCGGCATCCAGAAAATGATTCAAAACAACTTCCCGCAAATACTCCAATTTCGGGTGTCCGATGAAATCGGGATTGCTGGTCCATGTTCGGACGGTGTTCATCATCGTGGTAAAGCTTTCCGAGTTCACGATAGCCGACGCTGTTTTGCCCTTCTCTTGTCCGGATTGCACACTTTTCTGATACTCGTGCACATTGACGTAGAATGGTTTGATTCCGTGATTTTTGAGAAGGCCGATGCCGTGAGCGAGCTTCGAAAGCTGTTGGAAAGCGGCATTGATCATGCCTTGAATCGGTTTGGGGGCTTTGCGACCCGCATCCGTGGCCATCCATTTCTTTCGCGCCATGGTGAGCCCGAAAGCGGTCAACTGCATTGGGTCGCCTTGGAAATATGCATTATGGGATTTCAGCTTGTTGACCGTATCCCGCAGCGCCTTCGTGAACAGTTCCATGATTCGGTCTTGCTCATCGCTATAATCGAAAACTTCTATGTCCGTTTGCTTCTCATGAGTGTATGGTCGGATATCTATTGATTGCTCGGTGCGTAGTTCAACACGCGCAATTCCGAGGTTGTCGAGAACCGCTTGAACGGTCTCGACTGTGGATCCAGGGGTCGCCGTAAGCGCGAGTACTCGAAAACTCGGATTGAATCGACGTACGAACGAGACCACCTCTGTGTATGCGAAGGCACCCGTGGCTTTGTGGGCTTCGTCGACGACAAGAAGTACTAGCCTCTTTGGGTCGCAGATACCAGTCTTAAGGTCGTTGATAACTGTCTGAGGAGTCATAAAGAAAACGCGGCGCTCAAGCCACTCATCAGTCCGTCTACCAGGCGCCGTCTCACCGGTCATGAGCACAGTGTCACGTCGCGGGATGCCGACAATGCCGTAGCATGCTTCCATTTGCTGAGCGATGAGTGGTTTGGTGGGCGCCATGAATACAATCTGAGCACTCGTCGTCCATCGATAGTAGTTCAGCATGACGGTCGCTGCGATGAAAGTCTTTCCCAAGCCGGTAGGAAGTGCGACAAGCGTATTATGGAACAAGCTGCGTGCCACAATGTTGAACTGATAATCGCGAACTGTGCCAAGATTGGTAGGATATACCCAGGTCTCCATCGCCTTCGTATCAAGTTTGTGATGAGTGGGTGGCTCTTCTTTCGTTTTCAAGGGCCAGGCGTGTCTTTTCTTGGCTGCCTGAGAAGCAGTGATATCCTGTGTCGCCATTTGACCGTTCAGAGTGGTCTGCTTCAAGCCCGTCTGCGGACCACGAAGTGCTACACCCGCGTTTCGAATCTGATTGTGACCAGTGATCGTACGTGATGCTATCTCTGTCACTGCTGGCTGCTCAGAGGCCGAGGATGAGAATGCACCTGGGGGTAAATCTGCAAGATCTTCAGATAGATCGACAACGGAAAAGCTCGGCGGTCTTGAAACGGGTGTGTGAAGTTGCCCATGCCGAAATCTTTGGTTTTCTTCTTCCTGGAGCCGCGCAGCCACAGAAGCATCGTTCTCGGGCTCGGCGCGAAGTACCGCGGAAGATTTTGCCTGAAGGAAGTTCTTAATTCCATTGTTGAGAGGCTTTGCGCTGTTAAGGGTATGTGCTTGTCGCAACAGTGCATTGTTCTGCGCTCTAGCCAGGACTGAGAGTGGCGCTGGTCGTTTCCAGATCGGTCCCCTAATGGCTGTTGGATCGTCATCGAGATCGTGTTGCGTTTGAGTTACGACCACGTCAGCAAAGTCACCCTGGCCTTCGTGGACATGGATCTTGTGCTTTGAGTTCTTGGCGACATCTACGCGCTCCAGCTCTCCTGGGAGGTAGTAGCTATCGTCGGATTCGACATCGCTCTCGTCCGCTGTGGGCGACGTTTTGCGCCGCTTGGAAGGTCTTGGTGAAGGGTGAAAGACGGCTTGGGAGGCCTCCAACTGAGTGGCAGCATCCAACCACGCGGTATCGTCATCGTCGATGCCAAATTCGTCACTGTGAATCATTGTGCATTTATGATTGACACATTATGGATTGGTACCCAGGCCACACAGAGGCAGCGTCTCGCCTACAAATTCGCCCAGAAGCAGCGTTTCAATCGCCACGGAAGACGCGTCCCAGAACGCGACTCACACAGGCCGGCACGTGAAGTAATAAATAGGTGTGCATTTATCAGGTCTTCCCCGCGTTTGGGAGCCTGGGGATTGTACGACTGCCCGCCGCCGAGATACGACAGCACAGTCCACGGAGGCATGAACACCAGTAGACAGGTTGGCATGAGCGTTCTGATGATTCTATATATCCACTTGGCAGGTGATTTTTGAGAATTTCATTGTAAATCTGTTTGTCCGCCGGAGACAACTAATCCAGCGCGTTTGCTCCTGTGCTCATCACCTCGCTCAAAATTTACGCGATGCATCTCGAACAATATTCTTCGAGAGTACAGCACCAGCAGTCGCCGTCTCAAAGCGCTTAGGGACGGTCCGAAGGACCACGATATTTTTGAGTGTGGTGAGGCATGTCAGGTTCCTGTCTATGCGGAAGTATTAGGGTGACGATCACGACCAGGAACGTTTCACCCGAAGGCGAGGTCATTTGTTCAGTTGTCGCAAAATCGCAGACTCGTATGTTGCATCGAATCTTACCATTGGAATGGACAAGGTACCGATAGAGGATCGCGATGGTACTTTGAAGGCTTACGAGGATCGAGAGGCAACCCAGTGTATCGTTCGCTCTGTTCCAATTATGGAAAGTGAGTGCACGCGATCACATTTCTTTACAGTACTTGTCTAGCCTCTCCGGATTGTAATTGGTCATCCCAATATCATTATTATTCCGACGTATTTCAAAGCCCTCTAGAGTCAGAGACCACATGGTATCCCGACAAGGTGATTCTCGAGATGGGCATGTTCCCGCACATTTCCACGCCAGAGGCGGAAAGCTTTGTGGTTGGCAGGGAACGCATCAAGATGAACGTGATGAGATCGAAGGGGTGGGACCAAACAAGAAAACGATGATAGAGGACGAGTCGCAGTGAAATCCACCTACATCTTCCCTCGTTGTGTCGACAGAAAATTGTATCCTTAAGAGCTTGGGAGATTCAAATTTGCTTGGATCGGGTGCAGGTGATGTAGACGTAACCAAATTCGGCGTATAAATCACGATATTTCGATGCATCGTCTGCGGGCTCATTCTCGGCTGCCACAACTTTCACAATCATTACACACATCCGAGAAAACACAGTCCTGATAACGACAGAAGCACGAAGCGCGATCGAAGTCACTGCACCCGCCGCAACCATGCTCTCACGACCTGCAACAAAAATATCTCTGACCACGGATGATCTCATCGCATTCGAACAACGCCGTCAAGCACGGGAAGCGGCGAAGGCGCGAGAGGCGGAGGCGGAGTTGGCAGTAACAACAACCGCGACCAGAACGGAGAATGAAGACGTCAGCGAAGTAGCAGATTTGACTCCCGCCGCACAAGCCAAAGCGACACGGTCGCGCGTGAAGCGAGAGCAGAGAATTGGTGTAAGCAGTTCGAGGGGATGAATGACGATGAATGCGGCGGCGGCGGAGGAGGAGGCGTAGACGGCGGCGCGGTGGCACGATCGGATGCGCGTGGACGGCGGTGCTGTGAGGTTGAACAAATCGACACGCGTGTTTCGGGTTGGAAGCACTTTCACGTTGACGACAAAATTCGCGAAATCCAGACCAGAACTGCCCATAAACTCCCGGAATTATCTGTCTGTGTGAGGAGGTGAGAAGACGCTCGGTCGCTGACTCGCGACAACGATTAAGCTCGTGTTTCGCAGAGTCCACCGCACCCGCTCATGTCAGAGTCACGGCTGCAAGTGGATGACGATAAGTCTAACTCCGTCACCATGTCTCGCCGCATCCTGAGGTCAGCATCCGGGTCAGCGAGAGCGTTGATACCTAGGTATCTTCAAGGTTGGCATCTGTCGCCATACACAGTATCTGACCACGTTCTAATCACACTACCCGGGTAGTCGTCGACTACCAAATGGAAATCTATGAAACATGATGTGACGATAATGTTACAAGCGGTGTCCACAGTATGATGAAATGGGGTGCCGCATGGCAGGGGTGGATGTCAGAGAGGAGCAGCGGCAAGAGCACATGTATTTCTGTGTGATGACAACGAGGAGCAGCGCGGAGAGGCGTGTGGCGCAGGGCCGGCAAGGGCGAAACACGGCGGACAAGCATCACGGCCCAAATAGAGAACGAGAGCCAGTCAAGCACCTGCACCTTGCCGTCGAGACGACGAAGAAGGTTCCCAGGTTCTTTGACTCGCACACTGGACCTCCAGGGCTGTTAACCGTGCCGTGAAACAAGCGTTGAGGCGCGAACCGACCTTCATCACCTGAAGGCTGCTACTGCAGGAATTCATGCACCACCGAAGGCAGGCACCTCAAGTGCGCGCACATATCCACATGTTCGCGCGGATGGCTTCCTTGTGGTCAGTGGGCTGACCTCTGTGGAGTACGGTGAAACACACGCACATAAGGAGGGAAAGCCCTATCCAGCCCTGCCGAGTGATGCCCGTGAACTGTACTGTAATAATTACGGGCAGTGATGATACCCGCGGACTACTGTCAGGCGTCCTGCATCTTCAACCAATCCGTTGCAGATGGTTCATTTTGAACCAGGACGGTGGTGATTGCACGAATGAGATGTTATGTAGTCACATTAGACTCTAGAATTGCCCAGGTGGTGTAGCCGTCATCCATGGATCGAAGTGGCAGCTTTACGAACCCCATCGTGACTGTATCATCCACTTTACCTACGATAAATAGGCTGATGAAACGCCCGGTGATGCTGTATTGCACAGCTGTGGGAATGCAACGGATCCGCCATCGCCGCCGCCGCCGCCGCAAGGAGCTTGCGCTTGCCGCAGGACAACAACAAGAATGTAAAACACCGACCACGAGACAGCCACAGGTGGGCACGGTGCTCGGATTCATATGCAGGTGGATCACATTTCGTGATGACGGTGGGGATAATTAAGCGTGCGGGTTTGCCTGTTTCCCTGCCTGCTCCATCTCGTCGATTATTTTGTTGAACAGAAGAAGGAATGCCGGGGGAACTCTCTAGCTTGAAGCAGTGAGAATCCAGTTCTCCCACAGAGTCTACTGCTGCACCGCCCCCCCAAGACTTGCCTGAACACTGCGCGCGTTCATCGTCTCATAGGTTGGAAGTGTCGCTTTTCCTCACATATGTCCCAATTATAGAAACACGATCTACCTCCGTCTCCCTCCCACCTTCCCCAGTTCTACTCTTTTACACGTACCGCGACTGCAAGTTGCTTATTGTCACTGCAGAGCTGCCTTTGGGTGTGCTGCGGATCTCCATCATATATCTTATATCACCATCTCACCATCCTCGGTGTTCACGCTCGCGTCAGCGACGATCACAACGATCACAACGACGACAACGAAGGACGACGACGACGGTGACAACAATAACCTTCGCCATCCCACAGTCCGCCTCATCCCTTCCATCTTCTCGCGATCCCCGACGCGACCTCCGATTGCTTGTCTTCGCGCGGCTTCTCCTTCCGTCGCCGCCGCCGCTTCGCAACGCCATTTCTCTCCAACCCGTGCGGCTCTTGCTTACAGAACGGGTCCGCACCGCACTCGCCGTTTGCGCCATTGTTTTTTATCCTCGTGATCTCACCTCTTCTGCATCAACTTCTGGTACGCACGCGGCTTTTGCGTACGAGTGCCTGACCTACCATCATCCTCGTGCGCCCAGGTGGACAACTCGTGCTGCCACGGACCATTGGCACCAAGTCGGAACGCACGTTTCCGCTGTGGAGACGGTCCATCCTCACCCTCGTCCGCGTCGCATCGTCTTACGACTTTCGCCGGGATCATCCTGGACGTGAACTCGAGATCGCAGTGGTCTTCTAATCTATATCCAGACCCGCACTCCTTTTGACATCGCCAGATTTTGCGTGTCGCGCTTACCGAGTGGACTCGTTGTCGCCCAGTCGACAGCTGACAACAGGCCGCGCAAAGCCGTCGAGCTTTTCCAGGCCACCCACCAAATCAATCAACCTCTTCGCGCTCTGGTTCTTTGCATCACAACGATCCTCATTTCGACTGACACTTGACTAATGTCCATTCTATAATCGGAATCCTCCTTTCTCACTCTTGCCAACCTATCATGGGTCGTCGCAAGATCGAGATCAAGCCCAGTGAGTTTTGTCATTGCCCGTCGCCCGTTGCACAACCGGACAGGTCGCGATCATATCAGCCACAGCAGTTAACTGTCACATTTCCATTGCATGAACAACCACGACCACGTGCTAACAGTCATCTCAACCAGTCAGGGACGATCGCAATCGAAGCGTCACCTTCCTCAAACGTAAAGGCGGTCTTTTCAAGAAGGCGCATGAGTTGTCCGTCTTGTGCTCTGTCGACGTCGCCGTCATCATCTTCGGCAACAATAAGAAGCTATATGAATACTCGTCCTCGGACATCAACGAAATCATCAATCGCTTCCAATATGTAAGAGGAACAAGATGGAAATGGATACCATGGACACGGTGGACTGACTGGACTTTTTAGTATGGCGGTGCACATGAACACAAAGGTCCCTCTGACTTCACGGACAAAGGTGGAGGCGACGACGATGACGACGACGATGGTGGAGACGATATGGGCGATGAACACGGCACTCCAGTTCCAATGATGCAGCCCCAAATGCAGCACCACCCAGGTTTTCAAAATGTACAACATGGCACACCTTCGGCATCTCCTCCTATGCACAATGGAGCCATGCCACAATTCCAACGCGGTCCATCACCGCTGCCACCTGGTGTCATCTCGCGACCCTCCTCACGGACGTCACAGCATCCTCAAGGAGGTCACATTCGTCGTCCCTCCTCAAATCTCGCTCCACCACACCCGCAGCAGCATTCATCACAAGGACCTCCACCACAAGCCCAGCCGGGATACGTCTATTCGCCCAATCCTCCTTTCTATAACGGTCCTCCAGGTGCGCAGATGCAACGCCCACCTCAGCATCCGCCCCAGCACCCTGGCCAACACCATGCACCGTATGCCCCGCAATACGTGCAGCAAAACCACCATGCCCAGCAGGCGTTCCTGGAAGATTCAAGACGCACGTCCATGCCGCCGGGATACCCTCCACAGCAGGTGCCACAGGCGAACATGGGTCGCAGTTCACAAGAGCATCTGCAGCCTCCGCCACCGTCATTACAACATCCGAACATACCTCGACACCTGTCTCCGCAGCCACAGCATCAACAACGACGACCAACAGCATCCCCTCAGCCACCCCAACATCAATTCGCTAGCCCTCCGATCCCGCAGCCCCGTCCTCTGCCTGCGTCAAAGGCGCCAGTCATTTTCACACCAATTGATGACAGCCGTTCAATGTTGGCTCAGCACTGGGGCTCGACAAGCACTGCTGGTTCAACACGAGCCGATGCGTCGGCGAAAGTGGAAGAGTCTGGGCCACGCCCGTCATCGATCGACGTAGGGACTCTTCAGCGCAGTTCGCAGCATCCGGGCAAGCCTCCACGATCGCGATCCCGCTCGCCTCGCCCAGCTGAACCACCAACCAGCGCTGCTCCAACTGGGCCGCCCCATCGCTCCAGCACTAGCGGTTCCATGGATGCCAAACGCCCGCGGCTCACTGTGCAAATCCCAAGCGAAGCATCTCCTGTTGATGGCAACGCTACAGGTGCATCGGTTCTCGAGGACTCTAGTGCTGCCCAGACTGCACCCACGAGCGACCCAAGCGCGCACAATCACTCACAACATCTTCAACAACCGCAGCTTCTTCACCATAATCATCACGGCGTACACCTTCCACCTCCATCACCCAGCGCAGGCAATCCTCTCCTGTCCGCGGGCGCTCAAGGGCCCCCGAATCCTTTCGCACGACCAGCCCCGCCCATGAGTACAAATCCACACGCAATGAACCGCGATGCCGCTGCGCCAGGGCAGTCTAACAGCAATCATAACAACAATATCGACACGCCTCTCACAGCGCTTCCCAGTCGCTTCATGAGTGACAACCTACTACCGTCGCCGTCAAGCTTTTATCCTGAATGGAATCTCGGCCGGCTGACCTCTGCCGCAGGGGACATGTCCGCTGGAGGTCTTGGAGTTTTACCCAGTCCTTTGAACTTTGGCGGTGGGCCTAGCACGGCTGCACCGCCGACATCAGTCGGGACGAGGCGTGACGACGACGGTCCTTCACTGGAAGCCAGCAGCAGTAAAAAGAGACCCGCCAGCGGCCCAGCAGAGGAAGACGGAAGTGGATCGGGGAGTGCCGACGAAAGCGGTGGTGGTAGTGGCGCGACTGGAAGCGAAAGCGATGCTAAGAGAGTGAAGACGTAAACAGTCCACGGAAGCCCCTATAACTCGACAGTACATGCTTGACTCTGAACGCACGACCGGACGACAGCTTGATTTCACATTCTAGACTCGCTCGTTTTGAGCATGATAATACCTTATGAAGATTCTTCTGGCAGCGACTTTGTAGACCTCCCAATTTTCAGAACCGGAATTGGGAATGTACCATATGATAGAACCTTGTAATGATTTGGCGGCAGTCTGCGTGATTCCACTTGCCTATGGTATCCATCCTCAAATGTACCAACTTCGGCTTCGATGTATTGATTCATCGCCCAGGCATTAGAATTGCGCTCTCATGACTTGACACGTTCTCACGTGTCACTGCTGTCAAATTTCCACCAGCGTCATTCAGGGTTCGGCGGGCTCTGTTGCACCAGTATACACGGCAGCTCTCCCCACCCGACAATAAATTATTAGGAGTTATGGCCAGCCTTGTAATCAGATAGAATGAATATATTTCCTGGCGACCAACAACTTCTCTTATTACACACAGCCTTCCCATTCATCATCTGATCTCACACCTACAACCAGCATATCGCGCATCATCCAAAAATTGCACATTCCACAAAGAAGAGCTGGTAACCTCCATCTTTCACCAATGGCTGCCGAACCTCGCCGTCTGGCCCAACTGCCAGGCTACGACACCGCACCCGACGTTTACGAGACACCCGATCCGCACGATGACGGGGTCGCGACCGGCACCAACGTCACAGTACCTGGCGCAACAATAGGCGGTGGCCCAGCCACATCACACCTTCGAGATCTCGGCTCAGAAACGGACGACTCGGGACTTTCAGCGGAAGATGAAGACCATGAGGATGACAACTTTGGCGTCAGTCGCCGACGCTTATACCCTGCGCGAGCACGATTACGCTTCGGAGAGGCCAGTCGCGGTGTGGAGACGAGCGGGGCGGATCTCAGCGACCGGGTGGACGGTCGACGAAAGGGCTACCGAGTTCGCCGGCGGAAAGGCGCTGCAGAAGCGGGCTTGGGCGATGGGGTTGACGGGGAGGGCGAGACTCTACAGATGCGCATTGCGAGGCTAAGACGCGAAGTGGAGGAATGCAGAGTCTTGGCGGAGAAGAACACAGAGAGCGAAGGAGGACAAGCAGAGAGCCCGGAGGGCCTTGAGGCGGATGCAAAAGCATTGAATCAACTGCTAGCACAGATTGACGTACCGTCAGTACGCGGTGGTGGACTGCTGCATCGGAGAACACAGCAACCAGCGGGTCTTGATGCGACGGCTGGCAAATCATGGACTGACGAAGCTAAGGCGGACCTACCTACAGCAGCGCGGTCTACTGGTGTTGAGGAGACGCTCACGGAAGAGCAATCGCTGAGCAGAATCGCCGCATTCGACGCCCGACTTGCTTCTCTCGAAGCCGCTCTCGGCCTCAGCGCGCTCGACAGCAGCGGTGCCGTTGCAAGCTATTCCTCTGGGGCCGGGCCCGTCCCTATCCTCCCAGCATTAAGCCTCCTCGACGCCCAATTTGCAACCCTCAGCAGTGCAGGCTCACTCGCCAGCCTCGAGGCCGCCAGCGCCAAGATCGCCGCCCTGAAACATGAAGCCCGGACACTGGCGGCATTGCAACAATCGCAGACCGTGCCCATCGGCGGCGGTGCCGCTCGCGTAGGCCTCACGACCACCACACACGGGGGCGACGACTCGGCTGCCGCATCGGAATACGGCGACGCCGAAGAAGCGCCCTCACAACATGACCCGGATGGAACGGACATCGACCAGAACGGCCACAGTGACGCTCAGCAACACCTGCACGCGACGGACCTAACCACGCTCCGCGCCCTCTACACCCACCTCCCGACTCTGCAAGCTTTGACGCCCACGCTTCCCGCCCTGCTCACCCGCCTCCGGAGTCTCCGCGCGCTGCATACGACGGCGGGCGCGGCGGCCGCTGATCTCGAAGCGCTGGAGCGGCGGCAGGAAACGCTCGATGCGGAACTCGCAACGTGGCGGGCTGGGTTGGAGAGGGTCGAGGCGGCGGTGCGCGAGGCGGATCAGGCGAATGGGCGGAACGGCACGGTCGTGAAGGGATGGGTGGAGGGCTTGGAGAAGCGAGTGGAAGGGCTGATGATGGGTTCCGGCGGTGCGAAGACGGGTTGAGGACAATGGGCCATCAGTGTGTAAGTGTGGTGGTACTAAGAGGGCCGAATGGAGAGTCAATAGATGGTGGTCCCTGGAGAATCCGAGATGCATTTAGATCTGAGTAGATGTGATCGCGAACCTGGTGGGAAATCACGAAATCGCATTGCAGCTGAGGTAATCAATAGGAGTCGGCCTGAAGACGAAATCACGTTATTCTCGGCACCAGTCTTCCGAAGCATATTGATGCCGTCTGTCCTGCTGTTGCAGATACAACCAGACACCTGGGCAGCGACTGAATTGCTCTTGAACTCATCCTTAGTCATGTCAGAAGGGTGACAAGAAACGCCCAGTCAATCCGCCAGCTAATCCATGTATAGCAGTAGAGGTGATTTTGCTCAGAGCAAGCGAGACTTGTTTACTCTACATGGCGAAGAAGCTTGTTACAACTACTTAAAAAGAGCTTAACGGAGGAAGCACTGGGGCAGCGGATAGAAAACAGCCAGGTTCAGAGGGTCCTGCATTCTCTTCTACGGACGATTCCTGCACAAATTGCTTGGGAAATTTCCCTTTCCACTCTGACGTTTCTCGTAGATGAAATTGACATCTCTGTCCCGAACAAGATAGCTTTTTGTTTTACAAGAATCGACTGAAGCTGTCAGCGGATAGTGGTTCTCTTTGCAAGATGTGTGTTCGTCCGAAGAATGTATGCGCGGGTCCTCCGGTGTATGTTCCTGTTCCTCCACCGATGCTTGCAAGTCTATTTCCAGACGTTGAGTGACACAAATTGGTTTACATGACTATCGCAACAACAATGTAAGCAAGTAAGCCAAGATCAGTAAGTGAATGAGCGGGGCAAGTCTTTTGATCTCGTTCAAACTCCCTGCGGTTGTCCACTCCTCCTTCAGGAGAACGGATGCGGACGGGTCCAGGGGAGAGTCTGCCTTTCGACCATGCCAAGTTCAACACCCAGAATCCATTGTGTAAGCACAACCCATTGACAACCCGATTTTATTCATCTCCTTGTCGCTCGTTCGACCATAGGCTGGGGGATCCAAAGCCGAGGATGACGACACTTCAACCATTGCTTCCATGATGAGGGGTAGTCCGTGAACATTGGTCGCAGCATCACGCGAGCTTTTTTCCAACCACAATTTCCATTACGGAACGATGCCTTGGACGTATGCTGCATCACGGTTCGCTCTGCTCCGAAGTAAGCCTTGCCGACGACGAATACGGCGGTACGAAGGCTACTATCCATGTACTCTTCGTTTTCGGCGCTTTGTCTTTGCATCCTGAACGTCATGTGGATACTGCGCAGGACGTCATCACCGAAAGAAGTTTGGCTTGTGCTTGTTGTACTGGAGACTGCCAGCGCGTGAATCTGACTAACGCTGCTTCAAGATTTCTGTACGACGAGCAAAGCCGGAGGTCAGCAGGTGAGACTTTCAAAAATCGATCGGGGGCGACGAAATCCCGCATTCGTAAAGAATCTTGTGCAGTCGTCTGATTGTAGACCATGATATGCCGCAAAATGTACGGAGGCATGTACACAGATCGTGATTTTTGAGTGGTTTCAATACAACCCCGTGTCTGTCTGTGGAGAAATGGAATTGAACAGAAAGAGGGCCTGCGCACCTGTGAGGAACTCCTCGAAGCTCAATGTGATGTATCCGTCACGGTCCGAGTCGTATTTCTTGAAGACATCCGTCATGCGCTTGAGACTGATGCATGCTTGGACAAACAAGTCAAAAGACAACACACGCTGTCGTTCGCCATCGTCGCCGCGACCTCGCGAGTGCGTGCGTGCAAAAGTGCTAAAGAGCAATTGAACGAACTGTGGGCTCAAGCGATATCCAAAGGCGACAATGGCGTCCTCGAACTCGCGTAGCGAGATGCTTCCGCTGCGGTCGGTGTCAAAGCGATCGAAGAGGCCGCGCCAAGCTGCGAGGAATCCCCACAGGCCACAAAATTCGTCAAAGTTGATAGTGCCGCTGCGATCGGCATCGAACATGCGGATCATCATCTTGACGGTATGAGGGTCGAACGCAGTGTAGTCTCCATTGACTAGAGCACGTTGCAATTCGGCTTCGCTGAGTTGTCCACTGCGATCTTTGTCGACCTGTAAGAAGAGCGGCCAAAGTGAATCCCGGTCGTTGCCATCACGAGGAGGTGGCGGCGCCGTGGTGGGTGGCCTTTGGTTGTCCGGGATCGGTGGACGGTTGTGATAGCCCGGCGGTGGAGGTCCTTGGCCATAGTTGGCGGGAGGGGGAGGAGAGGTGACTCCGTAGTTATTGCTGTTGCGCTGTGGCGGAGGCGGCGGAGGAGCCTGACCTGAGCCATAACTTGGTGGGTTGTTGTAACTTGATCCGCTGCTGCCTCCATTCTGCGAGCTATACCGTTGTGGAGGGGCAGGTGGACCACCCTGCGCGTAGCCATCGTAGCGCCCTCCGCCTTGCTGGCGCCCATATTCACTTCCATAGCCTTGTCCTGGAGGTGGTCCACCATAGCCGCCTGGCGATGGGTTGCCAGAAGGACGGTAGCGATCGTCTGAAGGCCTCATATTTTGAGCTTGGGATGGAGGTGGTGGCTGAGGCCGATAACTTCCCGATCCGCTGTAGTCTCGCCTGGGAGGAGCTGTGCCAGTGGGTGAAGAGAGACTCTGAGCGGCCTGTTCAGGCTCGGCGTGGCTGTTACAAGAATAGATCGATCAGCGCGTGGTCGCTCGACAGTGTCTGGTGAGAGCAAGCGAGGTCGGCGACGTCGTGATTAATGCGACCACGGACAAAGGAGCGTGGATGAGTCACAGTATGTTTGGACGTTGCAAGACAAAGCTGGAAGGGAAGAGGAGAAGAAGGCAGAGCACACGTACGCTGGGAGGGCGTCGGGATTGTAGGCACCACGGTTGTAAGCCATGACGTTTTTCCCGCACCAGACAAGTTCGAAGTGACTCCGGACGGTGCTGACGAATCGCGGAGAAAGTCCTGCGACGGACGGTGTTTCAGAAGGACGGAGACGAAGCTTCAATGGGGAGTTCGGTCCGAAGTGTGTGAAAAGACAGTAGCAGTTGTAGTCGGGCGAACCAGAAGAAAGAGGGAAGGGTCGCACTGTAGATTCTGCACACCGGGCGATGACGATTGTGAGTTTGTGGTGAGCGTGAGTGCGTATTGGTGTTGGATGGTGGGGAAATGTCGCTCGCTCAGCCTTCGTTGCCGCGCGCGTGATGGCCCCGCCGCCGCCTCACCCCAGGCTGGATTTTGTTCTGCCTTACAAGGTTCCTTGGGTCTTCATCAGGCTTCAGACGTTGCCGTACTCCCCAAGGTTCCAATGTTGTTCTATTATAACGTAATCTATCACCGAGCGGGCCAAATCACCGAACGGGCCATTTTGTCTTGGCATTGTAAACAACATCTTTCCTGTTTATTGTATCAACAACGAGACATGTCATCAGATAATCAAGAAGGTAGAATCGATCTTGCTATCAATGCGTATAGATCTGGTCATTTTCGGAGCCAACGGAGCGCAGCTGCTGCTTTCAATATCAATTATTAGATACTCTCTAAGAGACTCAGAGGAACCAGATCTCGCGAGACTATGGCACCAAACTGTCAGAATCTGACGTTAACAGAAGAAGAGACGCTTGAGCAATATATCCTTGACCTTTATTCGCGAGGATTTGTACCTGTACTCTCTGAGGTAGCAGATATGGCTAATAAACTTCTAGCTGTACGAGGGAAAGGGCCAGTCGGTAAATGCTGGCCTAACAGATTCGT